TCCAAAAAAATTCTGAAACGATGTTAATTATAAAAATGCAAAGCTGGCACAAACTTGGCATGAAAAAAGTGATTTAGAGCAGGTAAAAGTAGTAAAAAGTTTTTCTGGGCTGATATCCCACCCGAATTTAGACCAGTCAACTTACGTAGACATGGGCATAAAAGCGTACCAACGCGAAAATGTGTTCGGTTTAAAGATACGTATGGATACTTTTAGAAATTGGCAGAGGTGTGCTATTGAATTGGATGGGACTCTCTTTTCCGTGGCGCATATATTAAGCTTGAGTATGACTCTAGTATAAGCTATATAGCTGGTCCTGTCGGTCATGGTGGTGCTGTAAAATAACGCGTGCATCAGTAATATCTTTGCAATTTCATGATATTCGAGAAAAAATGATGAATTTCATGCAGACCCAAGGAGGTGATGTATATGATAATGAAGGCGTTATATCGTGCTCTCCAGGATGGGTGTGAGTGACTGGCCATTTATAAAAGTGGATGACTAGAAATCTATATCAAATTCGCTTAACGATTCCATTCCCATACCATACAATGACGCGGATGGAACCATTGTATCGGTACTCAAGAATGTCGACAGTATTATAAGTGCAAATTAATACTTAATCAACAAAGATTCTTTTTGCTAATATTTGCATCGCACTGTGGTATCAACGATAACGGGGAGCAACAGGATGATCTTGCTGAAACAGTTCAAGCAAGCCAAGAAGAAGGTAATCTGGTTTGCCAAAAGTAACAATGCTTGTCTTAAGGTTCAATATCTTCAGAGTGGTACAATGGAGATATTAAAACTTGTACTCAGCACTTGTATGCGGTGCCCTCTCCCGAAAAAGGCCGGACACGTTAGATGAAGACGACTGGATAGAATCGGTGACACATTTGACTATCGTAGCATTTAACAAAAAATCTAGAATATTCTGACAACATGTTCTCGATCCTGCTTAGCATGCGCATTGAGTCTGATAGATCAATTTGGTTCCTGCAAAACCAAACAAGTCGTTGGATTTGTTGAGCGGGTCTTCCTATATATTAGCACGCTTCATCATGCGTTCGTGGATATGATCGCTCCAATTTAAGCTACATATCGACCAAAAGTTATTCTATAGAGATTATCCGACAGTTACTGGTCTTTATGTACTGTATATCGTAAAAGTAAAGGTGACTTTGTAATATGATTGCATGCGGTGCAATCAGGCGGTCATGTTAGCCACAATTTATCATAGCCTTCTCAACTGCAAAAGAAAAGCTACGACAGAAGCTATTAAAAAAACAAACTTTAAATAAAGATATTATCATCTGTTTTGGCGGGATTGCAAACCTTGATGACATTCGGAATAAGCACTTGATGGCAGCTAATCCAATATGCTCCTGTTGGACGATGCAAATGGCATATCAAGATTCGCTGGACTCTATTCGTTACCAGATAAGTAAGAAGAAGGTCAGGTTGGAAACAGTTGCTAGTGTAGAAGGTTTAAAATATGTCTTCATAAAATTACTTAGCAAGTAGCGTCTTCGGTATTCAGCGAAAAAACTGCTCACACGAAGATAAAGCAAAATATATATTTCGGGAGAGAAAATTTAGAGTAAAGTGAACGCCGGCCGAAAGGCATTGATGACGTTTGGTCAAACCTGAGGGCACTTGGTACATCTTATTGGCCGCTGGGATGTATACCGGTTTTACGCAAAGATGAATTTATGATATGGATTTCCGTGCAAGCCCGTGGCCCTAGGTTGAACTTGCCAACTTACATATAGCAGTTGTAGCTTAGACGCTTCGAAATCAATGTAAGCTTCTGTAGAGGATAATCCTTTAAGTGTTATCATTCTCTCAGTTTGCGGCCACCGGACTAATACGCGACCCGAGTTGGCTGAGTAATTCTAGAATGACGTTCATTTGGAAGTGCATTAGCCCACCAGGCTAAAAATGACCGTATGCTTTGTCTAATCTGTTAAAAGAGATTAAGATGTTGAAACGGAGGGAGCACCAGTGAACCTCGGTTCAATATTGTGTTAACCATGTCCAAAAACAAATGCAGAATACTGATTGCCCACCACGCATTGTAATTAGACAAAAACAACAACACTTTCTGCCTAAGACACCACCTTCGAGTATCCATTTGTGATTCTTACGGACTATATGTCTATCTTAATTATTTTATGCTAGTGATTGTTAGGCGAAAACCCACCTATATCGAGCCCCAAAGCCGTCCACCGAAAGTAAAATAGACACGCTCGCACGCATATAAATCATTCTGTCCATCAATGCAGATATAGAGAACCAGGGCAAATTCCCACGGAGGTTGTGGACTAATGCATTGCCTCTTCTAAATTGAGCGTATCGAAAACTTCAATACATGCAATGAGATAAAATTATTGAAGTAATACGAAAGCCTGTTATTAAGTTTAGAGCTATGAATTCGGTTCTTTCGCCTGATAACTCTCATGGTTACCAAAATTCGACACTTTACCACTTCCATCTTCATTAATTCAATCTCCATAGCTTCAATGTTGCGTGCCTATGCGCATGTTTCGCTTACGAAAAGCAGCAATAAGATATGGGAGGAAGCTCTGGATCTTGACCCTTAAATACAAGTAATCCAGTTTTAAAAATTGAATCAATCTGAAAGCGACTATACAATAGTATTCACTGAAGAATGAGTGTGATTCGATTTAACGCCTACATGCATCCAGTAGAGTTGGCTAGGGCAACGTGAAATGCCTTTGCTCATGAGAGTCCAGTGATTGCAAATTTAATCCTTGGCACCTTTAAAATATTCTAAATTAATCCCGTGCATGCGTCACAATATTGACCTGGACAAAGATTGACGCCTATAACACTTTTCGACCTAAATGGGGGGCAGGATAGATCACACTTAGTAAGGGTCAGGTATACCTAATTTCGTTATTTACATACATAAAGACATACAGACACACAGAGAAATACGATTTAAGAGCTCGACATGTAACCTTGCGCGCACTCAACAATTTATTGACCCTTCGGGATCGCAATCATTTTAAAGCTTAGTCGACTTTGGCATTGATGCCTTTCTCTCCTCAAAAAAATCTGGCCATCTTTACTGTGTAGATCATGCAGTTTTGATACATGAAGATTGGCCTTCATGGTATCCATTCACCCCGAAAGATGAGATCAGGCGCTCCCTTATTGCGCTTGCTTGGAATGTATCATCGCAAAAATGTTTGGTCGTCCGACCTTGATACTTCGGTAGTGTCCCCTGCCGTGGGCCAGCCGCAAAATGTCTAGCGTTGCGTTCACTGCACATGGGGCGGAATATGCATTCGTTCAAAATTGATTTCTACATTGAGAGCTTACGGCGAAAACTTGGTGGACGGTGTCGTGTATGACATGCTTCACGGCATTCTGCTGACTGACATGTTCACCAATCGATAGGGACTTTTAAAACTCCGCAATGGACCTGAGGTTTCAGCAGTAGCAGCGTGTGCAATGAAAGGAGCTGTAATTTCTAGAATGGAGGCGAAACGGGATTATCCTATATAAGATAGTGCTGATTATCATTGAACCCTCAGAGATTGGCAGGTCCCTTCGCTTAAGACCGCTGGCACAGATAAATCAATATGAGCACATAGCCTGATCGAAAAGTTGTGGGTTTTAGGCAGACAGCGGTGTTTTAGAGTCTCCCGTCTTCGTGTGCATTATTCGTGAATGATGTTGCGGCGACATGTGGAGGATGTAAATTGCATATTAGCACTAGCTGTAAAGTTTGTTTGGCAAGGTTATGTGGTGGAGTGAGGTTCGATCATTTACGTAGCAATCCTGACTCCCCACTTGCTCCCGGACGACCGGCTAACGGAGGGGGTACTCCGAACCGTGTGTCTTATCTTGTTCCTTCTCACCTTGTGTAACCGTCGGCGGGCGGTTGCACTCTTCTAGGTGTCTTGAGTTCGATGTCTTGTCTTGACCGAGTTGAGGATAGGTGGGGTGTGGTCGCGAGGTAATTCTTCACACGACCAACAGTTACTGGTGGCACTCTCCTAGAGTTGCCTGACCTTCATTGAGGTCGACTTGCCCAAATGTGGGTATTTGATCCCCCTTGTTCTTCTGACCACTTGATCACCTTTCCTTCTGATCACTTGAGCCGTCTGAAGACCTTGCCTTGTATGCTTGCCGCGTCCGATCGCGGGCTAACTTGAATGAGTATACTTGTTCCTATCCAATCAATCGAGGGACAAACCTTGAGCAAACACGTAGACAGTAAACCTTGTACGTCGGGTGGCCACTAGTGCTCCAGCCCGGAGGAATGCTGACGCATGTCTTTTGTCGGAAAATCAATACTGTTCGTTATTGACCAATTAGGTTTTAGAACTACGTTTACACTTCTCATTATCTCGGTTTTCTGCTTCGTTGTTCACCTGCCACCACCCATTCCCTGTGCTTGAAGTGAACCCCCTTAACTGCCAGCATGAACGCTGGTCATCTTGCAGTGACCATGACCACTGATCACCCATCGTGACCGTTACCACTGGTCACCTATCGTGACCATGACTACTGGTCACCTATCGTGACCATGACCACTGTTCACCTATCGTGACCGTGACCACTGGTCACCCATCGTGACCGTGACCACTGGCCACCCATCGTGACCGTGACCACTGGTCACTCATCTTGATTATGACCACTGGTTGCCCTTAGTGACCATGACCGGTCAGTCATTCGTCGTGAACATAACATGTGTTCATAATCTGTGACCGCCACTGATGACTTGCAATCCGTCCAGCTTATCGTTGGCGGTTTTTGTAGCGGTCAGTCCCAAGGCCTGCATGACCGGTTCCACATGCACTTACGAGGTGATCAAGGCGATTGGTCAGGATTTCCTCTGACCACTTCACCACAGTCGTCCCCTGCTCTGTTAGTCAGCAGCGGGGCCGATCTGGCTGAGCACTTTTTGAAGTGCCTTTCCCGTCAACGTTAGCGTTTTGCTCTTGCTCCCCTGATGATTGCTGGAGATGTCGCCGCCATCTTGTCATGCTGTTGAGCAACCCCTGCCTTCAGGCTCGAGGTTACCTCAGCTGACTTTGCTGCGGTCGGCCACCCCTGCCCCTGATGACGAAGATTACACTGGCCTTGAACTAGACGCGACCAGCAGCACTGAAGCTAGTAACGCTCGAACCGCGTCTCAAACCGGCTCACCACGTATTAGTCCCGGGCACCCTATATCCGAGTCGGAAAACCTAGCTGCTGACAGCGTGGACTACAGACGTCCCTGCGGACGTCGATTCCTCGGCCGAAGTTGAGATGAATAGCAATCAAGCACTTAATGTGGACGTGACCGAGCCTGACCAAGCCGGCCCCGCTCCGTCTGGATACCTTTCCGACCCTGTTGGCTTTTCGATCGGACCTAATGACGCCCCGGCGGACGATGCCTCTTCTGCCGATGCCGGCGGGGATAGTGACTAAGTGCACGACGTGGACACTGCCGAGTCCGAACAAGCCGGCCCCGCTCCGACTGACCACCTTGTCAACCCTGTTGGCTTTTCGGTCGGATCTGATGACGCCCCGGCGGACGATGCCTCTTCTGCCGATTCTGATCCCGCCGAAGCTGACATGGGTAGTGACCAAGTACATGACGTGTACACGACTAACATTGACCAGTTAGCTAAGGAGTGTGAAGACTTACGGCGAGCGGTAGCGGAAAGTCATTAGCGTGTTTCTCCACTGCGGATAGTTGCGATGCGCTTGCTCGCAGCTTTGCACAACGTGGTCGGGAGCTTGACCAATTTAAAACGAAGCGCGCTTTAATCCACCAAGACCTACGCCGTTTGCGCTCCTCCCATGCTGCTCATATCGAGGATCTAGCACTTTTGAGAGCAGAACGGGATCTGCTAACTTGCGACCACCAGGCCCAGCTCAACCATCTGGTCAACTTCGTTATGGGGATTCCGCCGTTGGTGGTACTCGCCTATGATAAGCGGCGTAGAAAGCAGTCAGCGGCCGATCCTGTGCCACCCCCAAACAAGCGTGAGCGCGTTACGGTCACCTCGAATTCGGCTTCTGGGTCCCCATCTGCCGTGGTCCCGCCCGTAGACCATGTAATTCAACAGCGATCCGCTTCGTATTTCCCCGGTCATCCTCGCGTTGCAGTGGGACCAGATTTGCCTGCCAGCCCGTCCTCAACGATTGCAGGGCCCGCCGACCCGACTAACCATTCACGATCGGCATCCACTCACCCCAAGTCCCGGCAGGCGTCTCGCTCTCGCCTCGACGTCACCAAGATTCCAGCATGTAAGACCTGAAAACTGTCCAAGCCCAAGACCGTGAACACGCCACCGTCTGTTATGACTCGGCGGTCACAGACGCAAACACGAGCGTGTTTCCACTCCGCATATCATGCGCAGGATAGCGAAGGCTCCGTAGAATCTGCCGACGAGGCCATGCTCATCGCACTGTCACGGTCACGTTCTTCCGTTCGACGGCGGTCTTCTGCCTTGACCACAAGATCTGCTGATGGGTTGGCTGACACTCAGAATGAGATCGATCCAGCCAGTCATACCCCCGCGACTCGTACGGCACTGTCAAGACGTGATACTCGTACATTATCGGCCGTCTCCCGTTTGCCGCCATCGCTGCGACACCTCCAACCGCAGAGCCACCCAGGGCGTCCGACGAGTCCGATGGGTCGGTGAGGGTTTCAAGCTACGGTCATGCCCCGGTGAACAAGCTTTTATCCCCGACCGACTTCAAGACTTTACCCCCGTGTGGTCCTCGAGCGATAAGTGGATACCTGGGTGTGCTGAAGTGGTCAAAGAAAATCCTGACCAATCGCCTTGATCACCTCGTAAGCGCATGTGGGACTGGTCATGCCGGCCTTGGGACTGACCGCTGCAGAAACCGCCAGCGATAAGCTAGACGGATTTCAAGTCATCAGTGGCGGTCACAGATTATGAACACAGGTTATGTTCACGACGAATGACTGACCGGTCATGGTCACTAAGGGCAACCAGTGGTCATAATCAAGATGAGTGATCAGTGGTCACGGTCACGATAGGTGACCAGTGGTAACGGTCACGATGGGTGATCAGTGGTCATGGTCATGGTCATGCAAGATGATCAGCAGTCATGTTTGAAGTTAAGGGGGTTCACTTCAAGCACAGGGAATGGGTGGTGGCAGGTGAACAACGAAGCAGAAAACCGAGATAATGAGAAGTGTAAACGTAGTTCTAAAACCTAATCGGCAATAACGAACAGTATTGATTTTCCTACAGAAGGCAAGCGTCAGCATTCCTCCGGGCTGGAGCACTAGTGGCCACCCGACGTACAAAATTTTCTGTCTACGTGTTTGCTCAAGGTTTGTCCCTCGATTGATTGGCTAGGAACAAGTATACTCATTTAAGTTAGCCCGCGATCGGACGCGGCAAGCATACAAGGCAAGGTCTTCAGACGGCTCAAGTGATCAGAAGGAAAGGTGATCAAGTGGTCAGAAGAACAAGGGGGATCAAATACCCACATTTGGGCAAGTCGACCTCAATGAAGGTCAGGCAACTCTAGGAGAGTGCCACCAGTAACTGTTGGTCGTGTGAAGAATTACCTCGCGACCACACCCCACCTATCCTCAACTCGGTCAAGACAAGACATCGACCTCAAGACACCTAGAAGAGTGCAACCGCCCGCCGACGGGTACACAAGGTAAGAAGGAACAAGACAAGACACACGGTTCGGAGTACCCCCTCCGTTAGCCGGTCGTCCGGGCGCAAGTGGGGAGTCAGGATCGCTACGAAAATGATCGAACCTCACTCCGCCACATGGTTATAGCACTCATGCAACTTATGCCCCTGGCCAGTTTGAGCCGTGGTCATCCCATCGCTTGGGCTTGGTCACTGTAGGTCACCTGGTCTTGGATCTCTCGTTCCACCACTACTTCCAGCCCAAGCACTACCTGTTCCCCGTTCCGGACGGTTCCCTGCGTCCTCCAAATGAAGCTCAGTATTCTTCGCGGCTAGTGACCTCCGCTTAAATTGCTGATTTTTACAGCCAAAAACCTTGGGACGTCTTACATCGGCCTATTGCGCCTGTGTCATTCCGCCCGACTGGCTAATTCCAAGCTTTGATGACCGCGTATCGTGAGTTCGAAGGCCATCATCGCCAGGCGTTATAAGATTCTACTCATGTGCTTCCGATCATCGTGGGTCCAAGTCGCGCGAAAGACCCTGGATTGAGCGTCTTTCATGAAGAAAGGCGTCGTCGTCGTTCCCGGTCCAGCCTTCGGTGGAAGGCTGGACTCCGGATCGTGTTGGAGGGTTTGGTCGGGGGTTAGTGTGACCTCGACATCCTGTTGGACACCTTCTTCCTGCACTTTCCAGGACAGTTTGAGAAATGTTGGTGGTATCTAGGGTTTGGCTGTCGACAGATCAACATCCCGAATCTGGCCTCAGCCTTACTCCTTGCGGATTCCACTGACCCCTGGCGCAATCAATATCGGGCGGCCATTGCTGATCACCTAGGCTCGTCCATCGACCGTCTCCGCATCAAGTTGGTAGCGCAGTGAAAGGGCGTCTCCATCATGAGAGACCATGACGTTTATGATCGCAGTCATGACCATTAGTGGCTGCTTTTGTAATTGATATCTATTGTAGTCTGCTCACCATGTTTCCTTGCTTCTGTGTACACCGCTTTGGCTGACCACGCAACTACTTAACATCCATAGCTTACGTATTCATTTCTCCTCCTTTCACAGACCAGGTGGTTTCAGTGTTTCGTGGCAGCGGTCACCGCTCTTGGTCATCTTAACTGTATAATCACCATGTTAGCTGACCACATCACTCCTCTACCTTCATGGTTCACATAGCCATCTCTCGTTCTCCCACGGACCATACAGTTACCATGCTTCAAGGCCGCGGTTACCGTCCCTGGTCACCCTAACATCTGAATTCTTCCTCATGTACTTGCATCACTTCAACATTGTTTCGCCTAGCTCGATCACGTTCAAACTTTTGCAATAAAGCACCACAATTGAGGTTTGCCTCATCAACTCAAGTCTCATTCTTATGACCCTACCATCGGACCAGGAACTGTCGGTGTACCCTTATATACCGAGTCTTCCGTCCTGTTCTCACATCTCGGATGCTATCCACCTCGTATTATCCTTCGGTTAGATCGTTTTACCAGCTGTCTTCTGGAAGCAGAGCTTCGCTATAGTATATGCTCTGTTTCTTCCACCTCCAGCCGCGCAGCAGGTCGATCAGAGAAATTTCGTACCAGCTTCAGCTTGAATAAGTGAACGAGTGAGAATAACCGGTATAGGGTCCCTTGTACCTTTAGCCGCACTGCATGTTCCCCGCATTTCTTGATAACCCGAAACGGGCCGTGTCACATGTGAGCCAGATTTCTGGCATATCCCTCCTTCACTCGATCCAAATATAGCCACACTTGGCTACCGCGACAGATTCCATTTGGCCTTTGATTAACGTTGTGTTGGTCAGCCCAATCTTGAATGTCGTCCTTCAGTCGGTCATTCACCGTAGCGCGGGCTCGTTGATATTGCCGCTGTATGTGATAGCGCCATCTCCGGGGATCCCGATCACGTATTTTTTTAGTACATCCCAACGGCAGGGTCACTTCCAGCGTGATCGCGGATCCCAGCAATGGATAAGATAGAACGGGGTATCACCCCGTACTCGGTCATGGGACGTATTGATGGCGAAGGTCAGGCGTTTAGCGTGTTCGTCCCAATCTTGTTAGTCCCCATCCAAGGCACACATTTTTTGCGCCCTGATCAATGTTTGGACCATAAGTTCAGCTGTACCATTGGCTAGAGGCCGATACGCCATTGTGGCTTGTTGTTCCTGACCAGCGATTCGGTTGAACGCACGATAGAAATCCGACATGAATCCGGTTTTGCGGTCGTGACGAATAGATTCACTTGCCCCAAACCGCCGGTTGGCAAATTCTTCATACCCTTCAGCGATCGTCTGGGTCTTTCTGGTCGCGCTAGATTTAGCGATCACGTAGCAGAACAAAAATCCACCCAAAGCAACAGTTCGGTATTCCTTTTGAATGACCTGGGTAACGAGGGAATATGATCCATTGCAATGATCTGGAACGGGTACATGGCCTGTAAATTCCCGGGGATTCGCCTCGTAGGATCGGACATCCTTTCCCGGTTTTGCAGTCGACGCACTTCCCCAAAAACTGCTGCACGCTTCTAAACAACCCTCTCCAATGAAAGTGCGATCGCACGCGGTGACACGTTCGACCTACCATTTGGTGACCACCTTCCATACTTGCATGGTAGTGGTGTAGGACACCATCTTGCAGTAATTCTGGAACCACCAAACGGACGAGCTCCGCGCGGTCACTGGGGTTTGCTGCCGCTCGTGGGCAAAAATATAACAATCCACCTTCATCCACCACGTAATCTGGGGCAACAAACGCACTTACCTGTGCTTCCGTAGTATTAAATTCGGTTACATCCCCGACTAGGTTAAGTTTAAGGTTGGGGATCCAACCTTCTTCATCTTGTGCTTTCTTTATGCGCTCCAGTCGCATCTGCTGTATTATTTCCTCTTTCATAATCGTGATCACTTCACGCCTCCGTACGGATTATCGTGTGATCGCCGTTATCATGGCCACTTGGTTGTTGGTCGCTGGTGTTAATATCTCGTCCAGTCGGTTCATCGCTTGTAAATTATGGCAATCCTGCTCCGTTAGCCTGACCATGCCTTTTCTGGCTGTAAAGCGGAGCTAGCTAGTCTATCGGTACTTTGATTCCAATCGCGCTCAACATGTAAGAATTTATGAGTCGGCCATGATAGCACTTAATCTATGGCCTTGAGATGTAGTAACTGCAGTCCCGGTGCCTTGCAGTCAATTTCACCCCTCATCTGCCTGATGACCAGGTTGGAATCCCCACAAATGACCACTCGTCTTCTTGTCTACTTGGCTAACAACTCGCCACTCAGCAGCAACCAATGGTACTCTGCCTCGTTCACGCTCAACCCAGTGTCGAATCAAGACGCAGCCGTTGCTATAGTCCACTCGGGGGGCTTCCGTATTATTGCACTGTAGGCGCCCCCTTTTTTCTTGATACGGGCTGCTCCATCAAAGCTGACGACAAGAAGCGATTCTTCGCGGCTGAACGTAGGGGGCGGCATACTGATAATCTGTCTCGATTGCTTCCACGGCGCGATCGCGATCAGCATTTCATCCATATCCTCTCGTGGTGTGATACTTGCGGCAAGAGTGCCAATGATTTCGTCCTCTCCTTTGTTGCATCGGTTAATCTCCAGAGTCTAAATTGACAGTAAAGGTGGCCACCTTTCAATTTTCCCGTTAAGGCCCGATGATTGCATCAACCACGCCAGATTTGAATACCTTGTGAGCACCTTAAGGTCCCGTGATACTCGTAGTGTATAACAAACATCTAATATCCGGAGCAGGGCCAGGACTTCTTTCTCCACCACACCGTAGTTGATTTCATTCGGATTTAACGTGGACTTGTCAACATAACAGGCCAATTCAATCCGTCGTGTTATTGCAACAAAGCTGCGGATACCGCCCATTTGCTGGCATAGACCACTATCACTGGCCGACGATCAGGTTCAAAATGTCTTAGCACCGACGTCTGGGCAACTTTTGCTTTCAGCATTGTGAACGCGATCATAGCTTTTCCCAACAATGACCACTTGTATGTTCGCCGTTAGACCCCTCTTTATTCGGTTGGTCATGACCATCCATCTTTGTCATTTGCTTATCACAGCCACCCACTAGCCTCTGGCCGTGGTCATCGTCGATCTAAGTATCACCATCCTGGTCTTGGATTTGTTGCATGATCATCCTCCGAGTTGTCCAACCGCCTGTCTCGTAGAAGTCCGCCTCTCTCAATTCATACAGGACTGAGGCGTATATTTCGAAATCTTTAATAAACCGGATGTAGTAATTCAAGCTTCCCAAAAAGGACTGCATTGACCGCAATGTTTGGGGAAATGGAATGACCAACGACCCCAAATCCTTCGGGTCGGCTTCTATTTCTAATAACGACACCTGGTACCCGAGACAATCAAACTTGCGTCATCCCCACACACTCTTAGGTAAACTGACCGACAATTTCCACTTATCACAAACTTACAACAGCCTGTTTACCTTTTGATCGAGGGACGTCCAGGACGACGCCAAGATCAGAATGTCATCAATATAGGACCTCCGCCCCAACACTGAAGGCTTTCGGTGCGGGTCCGGCTCGTCGTTCGTGAACACGTCGACCGGTTGTGACACCTCGCGACCACTTGTACTCCGCTGTTCGCCGATCGTGAGATACCCGTACGATGCATTATCCACCATACACTGGTATATCTGCGGCGCGTTTTTCAACCCAAACGGCATACGTAGCCATTCATACAGACCTGAAGGCTTAATAAAAGCAGAAGTCATTTGTGCTTTCTCCGCCACAACCCAGAATCCGCTGGCCATATTTAATAAACAGTACCATATCGCTTTGTCCAGGTCCTGCAGTAGGTCGTTGATCAAGGGCATGGGATACACCATCAGCCACGTCAATTTGTTTACTCGTCGGTAATCTATGCATAGTCGTATATCTACCCCATTCTTTTTTACGATCACTACGATCGGCGATACCCACGGCGAGGTTGAGGACATATAGTCTTCGCCGAAAGTAACCCTTTGATCAGTTCCGCCAACATTTCACGGAACTTTGGGGCGACAGGCCTCACTCGTTATGCTATTGGGGTCGCCCCTCCCACCTCTATGTCACATATCACGCCTCGAGCCGCAGGTGGAAGGGCGTTCCCTTGCTAATCAACAGATATATTTTCTTCCAGATCAGCTGGCGTAATTCTTCTTGCTCTTTCGTCAATGGAACCCCTGGTTCGCCCACCTGTATATCCTCAATCTTCACCTCGCATAGCGTCATGTCCACCTCCGGTAAGACTGCCATGTGTTGGCCAACATCTTCCGCGAATAACGTTCCACCTGCGTGTTGGTATGACGTGCACTCTTGTTCTCCTTGCCGGTGAAGGCTGCTTCTTGGTCTCCCAGATGGTCGGGCGGTCGATACACCTCCCAATTCCCAACAGTAATTCCATCTAGGGAATCAGGGGACTTGTTTTGCATACGATTAGGTACCATATCCTTGATCGACTCGGGAGTGAGATTCTCTTCACACTCGTGTGGGTGCGTTTCGGACTGCTCGTGCACCAACGTCATATCTTTTATCACATCAATAGGGTTGACCAAGTCGGCGGACATTGGTGATCGCGTAGACATTTTTCTCTAGGGTTCATTCGTTTGTTCTTGCCGATCATGTACCGAAGCACAACCCGTATCACGTGTGGTGATCGCGTTAAAAGCTACTGGTGATCGTTCTGGTTGTCGTCCTTCTTGATCCTCCTGGTCATCCACCTGGTCACATGTCGGCGCATTGTTTTCCCATTCCGCTTCCTCTCTCCCCGCGGTCATCTCTACCATATCCTGCGGGGGTCGTTTTAGAATCTGCTTTGGCGTTGGGTAAGACCGGCGTTCAACCAACGGTCCTTCTGCTTCTGGTACTTCTTTTCTTCACCTCCATCTGTAGAAGCTTCGTATGCAAGTGTTTGCCACTCCTGATATCGACGTGACCCTAACGACACATACCCGTGTGACCGTGGTATCATGTCCGCCGGCATCCATTGCCCGAACGGCGTCCCCTGCTGAATAATTACCTCTTGATCAGTTAGGTTGGTCAGGCGGAGGTACGTAAGTCTTCCGGGTCCGGTCATAGCCGTGGGTGCCCAACGTGCGTGGCGCGTTAACCACAATTTCGAATGCAGTGGTCTCCGACCAACATTGACCTCCACTGAGTCACCCACCGGTATCGCCAAATACTTATTATCCGCCGCAATTCGTTGTATCTTCGCCCCAAACGGTGATCTACTACCTTTCAGTTGAATCCTGACTTCGTCCGGCAAGCACACTGTTCCGTCTGCCAGTTCAAGGTGCATTCCAGCCGGTACTATGAAATCCATCCCTAGAATTGCCTTTGTCCCACTTGGTCACCCACCCAGACATCAAAGTAGTAAACCAATGAGCCGTTCTACATGATCTTCACCTTTTTGCGGCCTTCTGCCATGTATGAATTCTCTCCGATGCCCACGCATTCTTGCTTCTGAATCTCATCTATGAAACAGCCTACCTGACGAGCAAAGGTGGTGTCGATGATTGAGACTTCAACTCACAGGTCAAACAATAGGGTGGCCTTCTCATTGCTGATTTTTCCTTTCGCCTTGGCTTGCCTAAACCGCTTGTTTGGAGTATGGTACTACCAGATACCACGTGACTTGCCAGGAGACAACTTGAGTTCCATCTTTGTAGGTGATCCTGCGTATTCATCCTGTCGCCGCAAACTTTCAATTGATGGAAAAGAACTAGAGTCCAAATCACACGTACTGAAATTCCGGCCGGTCAGGCGATTAACACTGTTATCAACCCCTCCCTTTTCAATGAATGCATATATGCATAGCCTAGAACGCTCGGCTCGTACCAGGTTCCAACCTGGCGAAAGTCCTAGTTTAGCACATCATCAGCGTCGGGAGGAAGCATTCCGGCGTGTTTGGTCGGCACGTACCACTTGCGAAGCAAATTGTAAAACTTTTTCATCGGGCACTTGCCCCCGTCGTGCACTTCTCCACACGCTGCGCATCCGTAGAAACACTTGTCGGAGAGGTGGCCTCGGCGCCCGCATTTCTGACAAGTCAGGTGTTTCCAGCATCCCCTGTCATCATGTCTTTTGGACCCACAACGAGTGCACGACTTGTGCCCTTCTGAACGATCGTGATCACGTTCTGTTCATTCGATCTTGGCTTGGTTGGACGATCATTTCCTTGGTCCTTCTTAAGGTCGGCTGCTGTGGCGCTGAAAAAATGTCGTTGTTCTTCGTCTGATTCCGCACTGCTTAGATCTGATTCCAACGAACTACTATCGCCCCCCACGTGGATTGCACGCACAGCTCGAGCCGGTTTGGATGGACTCGGAGAGTATGGCGACGCTGATCGTGAGCGGAACTTGCCTGAACTGATCGGGAGATTGCCTTTGCGCTTTTGCATACGTTCATATGTGTGCAGCGTTAATCCAGCGTATCCACGTCGTCCAAACGCAGCAAGGTCAATTGATTTGCGAGTACGTGGTCATCCAGTGTCTCGATATAGTGTTCCACGTCTTCTCGGCGATCAGCGACGTTCCCGTACTTCACGTGGATTTTCGCTCGCATCCCAGCAACGTTCAACCGATTGAGGTATTCTAGCGGAGTTTCATCGGCATGCTTGCAGGCGTGGTAATACTGGCGAACAGCAGAGATGCTGCGTCTACAGTATTGTAGTAGAAAACTCTCCAGCAAGTCTTTTCACTTATTGCGTGTCGGATGGCTTAGCTGGGAGTACCAGTTTCGTGCTGGGCCTGCTAGCAAATCTCCAAACAAAAACATTTCTCCGAATCGGGGGCTTGTTTACGCAAGAAAGCTGATTTGACCTTTCGCACCCAGCTTCGAGCGCGGTCATCATCGTGATCGCGGCCTGAGAACTCCTTTAGATGGGTGATCGCAGACATGCAAATCCGCTGCGCAGCAAATCCTTCTCCCACGATGGCTTCCGTAGTAGCCAAGTGAGGTCGACGGACGCCGTCAATGTCGAGGTCGTCAGGGTCAAAGGTGTTACCGCGACTACCATGCGAGTCAGCCGATTTCATGTCCGTGTCTGGCATACCGACCCCGAACACCTTGTAGTTGGGGTTGGGGCGACTGGTCGGCTCAGAACGTGTAGGCCGTCGCTGTTACTCTCGCATGAACTTTTCCATGGCCTTTGCAAAGTATATTTGCATCTGGTCAGGGTCATCCGTAGCATCGACTGGCTCTATGGTTAGTCTCAACGGTCCGGTGGTTGGAGTCGGATGCTTGTGGTGGTCACGTAAAAGTGATACACCCGAAGGTCCTAACGACATTCGCTTTATTTTCAAGCCGTCGCTGTGGTCCGCAATTGACTCCGCCGAAGCGTAATGTGACGGCGCCGCTAGTGAACAGTCTCACTCTTTGACCATGATACTGGTCGTGAGCTCGCGATCAGCGGAGTCATAGTTGCCGGTCAGTTGGACCAGCGCTTTGAACAGTGATCGACTGATCGTGATCATTTGATCCAGGTCGCAGTCAAGCAGAACCTGTGCTTCAAACGCCCCCGGCACAAATCCTGCGCCTTGTATCAGTTGAATGAGACGTTGCACTGCTTCCATTTTGCTAGTGGCTGCTTGTAGAGTCGATGTCGGTCCCCGAAGCGGTCCGATCAGCTCCGGTTCCAAGATTGTCAGCACTGGGTCCGTTGATAGCAACGCTTGAAGCTGAGTCTAGTGCAAACGGCGTTGCAGCTGATCGATCTTCCAACCTTCCATCATGACCTCTGCTGCCCTGCTTATTTCTTGGTCATCACCCTCGGAGTCAGGCGCGCGTATCTTGGGACCCGTAGCCTTCGATCTTTGTTCTTTTTCTTTGTGTATGGTTTTTGTTTTATACGAAACTTGTCCTGCTTTAGCTGGACGTGTTTCATCTAGCGGGTCGTACTTGTCAGTACGATCCGAGGTGGTCCCCGAAGGGACCTCAGGAGGGAAATAAGCTTTTCTTTTTCGAGATCACCTTGGCGATCTTCCTCTTTGAATTTCGATTCGTTCGAGCCCCTCGCAAAACTCTGCCGAACCGAGAATCATTTATAATCGCTTGTCTGCGACGATCCCTTCTTCGCCGACACTTCCATCCCCGGTTCAATCTTTACCTCGACATCTTCGCTCTGGGATTCACGGTGAAATCCTGAGGCACCAGAAGATCCGGGCACGCGCAACATTGTGGTAAAGTAAATATCGCTCATTTAAGTAGCGATCCTGACTCCCCACTTGCGCCCGGACGACCGACTAACGGAGGGGGTACTCCGAACCGTGTGTCTTGTCTTGTCCCTTCTTACCTTGTGTACCCGTCGGCGGGCGGTTGTACTCTTCTAGGTGTCTTGAGGTCGATGTCTTGTCTTGACCGAGTTGAGGATAGGTGGGGTGTGGTCGCGAGGTAATTCTTCACACGACCAACAGTTACTGGTGGCACTCTTCTAGAGTTGCCTGACCTTCCTTGAGGTCGACTTGCCCAAATGTGGGTATTTGATCCCCCTTGTTCTTCTGACCACTTGACCACCTTTCCTTCTGATCACTTGAGCCGTCTGAAGACCTTGCCTCGTATGCTTGCCGCGTCCGATCGCGGGCTAACTTAAATGAGTATACTTGTTCCTAGCCAAGCATCCCAGGGACAAACCTTGAGCAAACACGTAGATAGTAAATTTTGTACGTCGGGTGGCCACTAGTATTCCAGCCCGGAGGAATGCTGACGCTTGCCTTCTGTAGGAAAATCAATACTGTTCGTTATTGCCAATTAGGTTTTAGAACTACGTTTACACTTCTCATTATCTCGGTTTTCTGCTTCGTTGTTCGCCTGCCACCACCCATTCCCTGTGCTTGAAGTGAACCCCCTTAACTGCAAACATGACTGCTGATCATCTTGCAGTGACCATGACCACTGGTCACCCATCGTGACCGTTACCACTGGTCACCTATCGTGACCGTGTCTACTGGCCACCCATTATGACCGTGACCACTGGTCATCCATCGTGACCATGACTACTGGCCACCCATCATGACCGTGACCACTGGCCACCCATCATAACCGTGGCCACTATTTACCCTTCGTGCCCATGACTACTGGCCACACACCATGACCGTGGCCACTGGTCACTTATCATAATTATGACCACTGGTCGCCCATAGTGACCATGACCGGTCAGTCATTCGTCGTGACCCTAACCGGTGTTCATAATCTGTGACCGTCACTGATGACTTTCAAACCGACCAGTTTATCGTTGAGGATTTCTGTAGCGGTCAGTCCCAAGGCCGGCATGACCAGTCCCACATGCACTTACGAGGTGATCAAGGCGATTGGTCAGGATTTCCTTTGACCAGTTCACCACAGTTATGTTGTGGGATGTTAACGATACCGGCGAAGCAACAGAATGTCTCAGTCGTAATGGAAGGGGGTTTTCACGCGGTTGGGTCCGGGTATGAATCCCGCCTTGTGCAAGTAAATTGTGATTGACACTCACGAGCTTGTGTTTGGGGTTCACCAGAATTGTGACCCACCCGCGGTTACGTCCCCCACAACCACGCAATCGTTTTTGTTCTGCATATGACACAGCAGAGTTTTTACGAAATGTATTTACGAGACGTAATTACCCAGTGATAGGTAAAACAGAAATAGGTGGAGACAGGGCACGAAATCGGTGGCTGGGAGTCACTGGCTTCTACTAGCCATTCGTTTTTGAAACTAGGGACAATTTGAATACAACTCCCTTTTCGGTTTTCATCCCCGGCCGTAAGCCGTCTTCTTCCTAGTTTCAGCTCCGTAACCTAGCTAATTTTATAACATGCATCTATCATGGCTCTATCACATTGTTTAGTATCGTATCACATTCCAAACGTATAAAGAGGAATGGTCGATTTTACAATGGAGTATTTTCTGATGTGAGAATCTTCCACACTGTCAGATTTGATATTCGTCTTGTGGTAAGTACTATGTAACGAGCTCACCTTGTTACAAACGGGGTCAGGATATTGTAAAAGATGTAGATGGCTAAACTGTCAGAAACATGCCAAAAACTGGAGAGAAATGACAATAAATAGCATTAAATGCCTAGAATCGGATATCACTTGATCGCCGCCACCTTCCTGTTCCGTCGCCGGCAGTTTTACTCAATTGGCAGCGATTACCCAAAATTACTCCAAATTTGGAATGCCTTAGTCGCCGCGACTACATATCGTTCCAATACATGGAACCGTTTCGTTTACATATTCTTGTCGTCAACTGCACATATAATGGATAGCTTTGTTTCGTCCAAATATATAGGTTCAGGTGTGCTCTACAGCGTGACGATCATGTACCATGCCTTGGTGGTTTTACAACTGTCATTCAATCGGAAACACTTCACCCAAAATCGATCGAGTATGTGAGCAGGCATTGTGCTGAGCATGTTTTGAGTTTTACATTAAGAACTAAAGACAAATTCTGTCAATGGAAGCTTTCTGATAACGCTCCTCGATAGCTGTAGTACGGACGTTTTCTTGTGTATAATCTGAATTGTCGTAGTTACACTGAACGCAAACCATGTTAACTTCCAGCAACATTTCGCTGAATCACCTGAACGTTCGCTATGATCGAAAGAGTCTCGACTGTCTTGTCGCTACTACGGTTATTATTCTAAATACAGAGCCACATAGTTATACGCGCAAGTTGCAGTAACTTTGTAATCAGAAAATCTACCAGTCTCTGTCGATACAAGGAGCTACCAGCGTTAGAAGAAGCAATATATGCATTGATATAGAACTCTCTTTCCATAGAAGAGAAGATATGTCTGGTTGATAAAATGTAGAAGGAACTTTTCTTCTCGTCTGAAGCCCCAGTCTTTCGTGAGCTCGTATTCAATTCTCACGAGTCGCGATATAGTCGGCCAGGCCAATCAAGCGGCCTCTCGTTTCAGCAGCACCCTAAGAGTTTTATAACGTATCTGCTGCTTCTCTGTCGCCCTGCATTCAATTTCTTCCACAAATAATTCAACACTCTTTATCACCGAGTCCACATGGCTGGTTGCAGACGTCGAAAGCAATGAAATGTGGTTTTACTCATCACGCACCCTTCCGGCTTCAGCAGTTGTGTATTCTGCTTTGGAGACGTACACAGGAGGCGTGAATATGAGACGATAAACAATGCATTCATGTAAAAATTGATTTTGTCGAAAAAATATCGTTTCGGGATAGCAACGACCAAGTTATTCTCAATTTGGCCCAATTTTGGGAAGTCTTTTTTGCCTTATTGGGTAGAACAGTCGGCGACGGAATAACAAGGTAGCGGCGGTCGCTTGATCCCCTTAGATTTAGTAGCAGCCTTGTAAGTAAGTGGACGAAGGTAAGCACAGATGTTGCTAAAAACTATTATGGGTTAAACTCAATGCGGCAGCTAGAAGTATGCCAAAGCGAGGGTTGTGTCCGCATGTGCGTGTTTAATGTAGAACATATACTTTACCTCGATCAACGGGTAGGCTCTGGTGCATGCTCATTGCGCAGCCGAAGACGCATCTGCTCTGGCCCTCGTTCCATAAAGTACTTATAGTCCAAGTATGATCCGTACTCGCGTCCTCTACGTCGAAGGTCTTCAGCGCTGACTCTGAAGCTTCTGTATGAATCCATGGCCGCCGGGTCCAGTTGTAGCTCCTTCCCGTAGTCGTCCACGGAAGTTTTGCGCCGTTGCATGCCTTTGAACTTTGCGATCGTCCCCTCCAGCTTTAGCGCAGACGCAAAATACTTCGTCTTGGAAAGCACATTCTTCATCTCGGCAGCCGCATTCTTCATCGCTGCAACCCAACCATCGTTTGGTCTCCTCACGATGAGGCCCCCAGGCAATGGGAAAACTTTCGCCGGTCCTCGTTCTTCACTGGCGACGGTCTTCGTGTAGCCACGTGACTGAGGCACTTGCTTGTCCTCCAATCCCGACTCACCCGCCGGACGTTGTTCCGAAGAAGTGACTTGAGACATCGGACTGATTGCATGAGCCAGCCGGGCGTTATCGCCAGCCAGCATGACAAGTGCGAGCACGAGGAGAAGAAAGCACTTGGCCATCGCAAAAAAATTAGTAGTCGCAGAGTATTGGTGAGAACAAGGGGGTCCGAGCAACTGGTGGCGCACACAAAGCGACTTTCGTACTGTAGGGTGCAGAATCGTCGACTATAGCCGAGGCAAGGCTAGCAACATGGAGAGACTTTACATACACGACCAGTTTTGCCTAATCCCACTCACTGCCTTTCTCGGCTTTTTTTGCTTTGCCCATCCTACACTTTGCCCGGGAATTCATTTGGCTTAATAATTGTACAGTGCCACCAGGGGTTAAACGACGGTACATGGTTTTTGACCATTCCTTTTTCAACAACCCCTCATCATTCTCACTATTCCTGGGCAAAGTGGCAAAGTGTAGGATGGGCAAAGCAAAAAAAAGCCGAGAAAGGCAGTGGGATTAGGCAAAACTGGTCGTGTATGTAAAGTCTTCCATAGCAACGAAGAGACACGCAACCTGGTTTATTCAGAAGGGAAGAACCCTTCGGAGCTGGCGAGATGACTGGCCGGTACTGCAAGAACTGCATGGCTGCTGCCCATTCGACAATAGAAGAGGAGCTGCTGCCTATTCTACAATAGATGAGGAGCTTTCTAGAGATTTATGCCGCGCGGTCCTTCAGATCACCCTGGGGTAAACTGCGAGTACTCTGACTCAGTTTGGACTCCTCCTTGCAGGACCCGCACCCCTCATTACACTATGGGGCTTTTCGGCTTGTAGGGCCTCCGGACGGCACCGGCCACTCATTGGTGGTTGCTCGTCTACATTTATAGCCTATCTCCGGCGCCCTGTAATCGAACCCCCACCGGGTATCGATCCAGGTACCTATCGGTCCCAGTTTCAGCGGTCTACCACTCGGCCACTGAGGTCGGTGAGGAGCTTTCTAGAGCCAACTTGCTTAGAGGCGAGCATGACGTAGCAAAAGAGGTAACTAGTTTACTATCACAAAGTGACCTTCGTCATCCAAGACCATCATCCAGTCATGTAAATGGACCAACTCGCTCGTAGACGGCAAGTGTCCAGATGCCAATGATGCATGAGCCCGACCCGACCTGCAGAGCAAGAAGTCGAGTACGAGGTGATGGCCAGGGATGACGTCAAGATGGCTCGCTAGGACTGCCGCAGTGGTAACAGGACTTCTCGTCCAGCGTCCTCTGTCCCTTGAATCAAAGTGCTCCGAGCGCGAGAGCAGCCCCGCCATCCAGTAGAGCGAACACAAGAATCTAACTTCGGACTTGGTCGACGGACGGTTTCCACGGACCCTTTTGGGAGTGCCCCGCCGTGACTCCCGACGTCTTGAGGCAGCAGAATGAGAAAGCTAGGAGTAGTAAGACTGTGTCAGGGTAGATGACACGAGGTGGTTACCACACAACCAGACATCTTACTAGTGACAAGTAGCCATGATAGACTGCCTGAGCCTCTCTTTCTACTGCACCAATCGCTGACTTTTCCACAGAAAGGCTACCACATCTCAGGGACCAACATCGGGATGTGACATCATCTCGCAGTAGAGTAACTGGTGAGGATTTGTACCGCCAATACCGCTTAAAACATTCAGAAACGCTCGAACCACGACCTCGCTTCAGCTGATGGTGATAGGGATGGGATACTTAGAAAGAGTTGCTCGACGACATTGACGAAGAGGTCCAGCTTCGGATCCGTCGCAATTGTAGCTAAATTCGCAAATGTCGACCCGTCGAGTTGGATGAAACCACGGATGCACTCAATTTACCACTCCAATACAGATATGTGTACTCCTCGAGCACGAGCAATGGTTGACAGCTATAGTACCTACTCGTTTTCTATCACATCTCAATCTAATGCTGCTAGAATTGCAGACCAAAGCTGCCAACACATTACGCAAGTAGTCGAGTAGCACCCTAAAGGCTGATGATTTTACGTACTCCATCGAACGTAAAAGAACAGAACAGGTATAATCAAGATAGGGGAGCAAGCTCTGGAGCTCGTCCTTCGATAGAAGTAGTTCAGATCGTAGAACTGAATTCGGCTACAAAACCCTATACAGCAGCAGTCACTGGAGAATCAGTATGATGCTGTTGAGGTCTGTGTTAAACCAGTACAGTAAACTTGGGCAGCGCCATCGGCCTGATGAGCAGCCAGCATTTGCTTGTGTGATCAATTTCACCTTTGATCGATCTTAAGCCAATCACGTGCGTATATCACAATAGTAACCTAGCCACAAAGTGACTTTGAATTTACCTCTATGTCCATATGATGAGGACAGGCTAGATCGCACTTAGTACGAAACAGCTACACCTCACTGCGTTCGTTTCAGACAGCCAGTCAGCCACACACACAGAGATAAGTACGATTGAAAAAGCTCGGCTTTCAACCCTGTGCACAGTCACTCATAGATCCACCCTTCAGGCTCGCAATTAACTAACATCCAGCATTTACGTTCAATGGGATCCAGTATTTGAAGCATATTCCAGTCGAAGGTAGTCAGATCCACCCGTTTCTTTCTCAAAGTACCCACTCAATCGTGCCACTTTTCAAGAATGAACCCAATTCTCGTCTTCAAGCTCGTGTCCCTCGTGGGTATCTGGCTCGTGGGTCTCATCGGGGGATTGATCCCCGCACTACTCGCATCGAAGCACGACAAGTCCCCGACTTTGAGCGTTCTCAGTGCGTTCTCAGGTGGCGTTTTCCTCGCTGGCGGGTTCCTCCATCTGCTCCATTCGGCGATTGAGAACTCGGCACTTCGCCAATGGTCCACTGTGGACCATGGTCGCTGGGCTTTTCCCTACGCCGAGATGTTTTGCACTGTGGGTTTTTTGGGTCTTTTAGTATTGGAACAAGGGGCCCAGACACAATTAAATGACTGGACGACAGAAGATAACGTCGGATCGTGGAAGAAGGAGAATGAGGAGCTGGTGGACGAAGAGCTCAATGGAGTTGGAGAGAGCGGTGGCACGTACTTGGAACACGGGGATGAAGAGGAACAAAGACTGAACGACACTGACCGACGTCATGAGAGTCTATTATCGCCCGGAAAGCAGAGCAGTCAAAAGGACACTACGTCAATGGCAGTGGCCATGGTGCTGTTCCTAGCTCTGTCATTCCACTCGGTCTTGGAAGGACTGGGCATTGGGGCACAGACCGAGGCGGCATGGGGCGTGTTTCTGGCCATTGTCATGCATAAAGGGCTTGCCGCTTTTGCATTGGGCTCGGAACTCGTGCAGAGTCGTGCCATGCCTCTGAGCCACGTGATGCTCTATATGGTCGTCTTCTCGTTCATGAGCATTGTCGGTATCCTCGTGGGCTGGACGATTGTTGGCGACTCGACCGAGGATTCAGCAGCCGCGGGGATTTGTGTGGCGCTAGCGTCAGGGACGTTCATCTATGTGGCGGTCATGGAGGTGATCCCACACGAGTTTCCGCGGCACAGCCACGGGAGTGGTCTTGAAGGTAGTCGCCACCAGCAAGCACCCAAGCTGACGATGATCAAGTCTGTTGCCCTAGTGGCTGGCTACGCTATCTTTGGACTGCTCGCGAAATGGTCGTGAGCTTGGAAGGCGGTAACGACATGAGAGAGATAGAACGACACAATGCAAGTGGACACACTGGTAAGTGACATTCATTTACTCCCTCGCTGCTTCTGCTGCATTTGTTGCGACATCGCGCTTCTGCTCTCTTCTTTGCCTTCTTGTGCTGCTTGTTCGCTCACCCATTACTGCTCGGAATTTGTTCCGGTTGCGTGCGTCTCCTCCAGTGGACCTCCAGTATCCCGTCGCTCTTTGAACACGGCATTTCAACATTTTCACGCTCAAAACTCACCACGACCACCGCCACACGACTGACTGACTGCTTGACTGACTCACACGCTCAACGAGTCACAAAAACATACACTGCTGCTTGCATCGAAGTTAGGCGTCAATGCGTAACTTCTCCACGGCCTCGTCTAAAGACGTGTCGACACCGTTATGACTTTCGGCCGCTCCGTTCGAGTTGGAAGCAACGCTCTCCTCACTGTGCGAATGCAGACCGTCATCAAAGTCATACATCCCCTGGTGCTGCGTCTGGTGGTGGTACTCCATGCTCGCAAGCTCGTCGTCATGACCACCAAAGCTGTCGCCGCCGACACCAAGGTAGTCGCTCCGCTGATGGATCCGCTTATGCTGAACTTTGAGCCTCTTAGTCCCGATCTGGAATCCATTCATGCTGGCAATAGCTGCATCGGCCGCGTCGGCGCTGTCATAGCTCACAAAGCCAAAGCCTTTGCTCTCCCCCGTGATCTTGTCCATATAGACCTTGGCGCTGATAACAGTACCAAACGGCGCAAATGCAGTCGCGAGATCTGCATCTGTCAAGTCGTGCGGCAAGTGGTAGATAAACAAATTGGCACCTGCGGGACCTTCCAACTGACTGGTCGCGCGCGAAGCCTTGGCTGCTGCTTCGACACCCTGACCCGGCATGTCCATGCCTGCAGCCCCCATGCTACTTGGCGGCATGTCAAAGTTTACACCGCTGCCGCCGCCATTCAACGGCCCGCCGAATCCATACGGGCTCCCAGCCGCACCAGCAGCAAAGCCAGTGTACGGGTTATAGTACATGAAAGAGTTCGTCGGACTCGCACCTCCAGCAGCAGCAGCAGCTTCAGCAGACGATCCAAGACCTGCACCTGCAGGATTAATCCCTGCGGCTGCTGCTGCTGCCGCCTGTGCGCCAAACGCCTGCATCTGCTGCATGTACTGCTGCTGCAGCTGTTGCAGCTGTGGGAACGCCATGCCAGCACCAGGAGGTAGCGGCCAATACGCCGTGGCTGCTGCCGCTGCTGCCAAGTTCCGGGCACGCTGAAGCCGCTGTCGTCGACTGTCGGCAAACTTGACAACGAGCGGCGCCGTGCCGCGGTCCATCGTGACGATGCCATTGACTTGTTCAATAGCTGCAAGCGCCGACGCGCGGTCCTGGAACTTGAGGAACGCGCAGCCTTTGCTCTGTCCCGTGGCCGGGTGGCGTAAGATATAGACCTCTTCAATCGCGCCAAAGAGCTCGAACACGTGCCGGATCGCGCCTTCGTCCGCTCCTTTCGGGATCATCCCGATAAAGAGTTTGTGCTCCTGCGACGCGCCTGCTTGGCCCTCCGCGGGTCGGACCTGCAGCGGGTTCAGACTCTGAGGCAGCACGACTTTATTGTGGAGCTCTTGGACCGCTTTTCCCGCGGCTTCCTGCGTAAAGTACGAGGCAAAAGCACAGCCGCGATGGGCGCCGGTGAGCTTGTCGCGGATGATCACGAGGTCTTCGAGCGAGCCAAAGACCTCGAGCACCGGCCGCAGCTCGTCTTCTTCCATGGTACGAGGCACTTGACCCACGAAGAGCTTCACGGGGCCGTCGGCGTCTTGGTCCGTGTACGGGTCATGCGGGACAGCGACGTCTTCGTCGTACTCGGAGGCGTTCATGACGTGGGTTATGTTGGGTTATGTTGGGTTGATTCCTATTGAGAGGGAGAACGACGCGAGTAGGTACACGGGGTTTAATCGCTTACTAGACAGAGGCAGGCGCTGGCCATCTGGGAGAGGACTCGAAAGGTTAGGTGATGAAAGGCGGATGGATACAAAAGAGGGGGGGGGGCTGCTGGCTGAGCGAAACGGATCGATCGTCTGATTGCGTGTGTGTGTTTTTAATTTGAAAGAGAGGGCTCATTTGGCTTGAGATGTGATGTAACGAAAAAAGGAGCTGCCGGGACGGATTGAGTTTAGTATACCTAGAATACAACAGGAATATGTCATTCCATCGGACCCTCCCTATACAGCAGATATCATCGCGTCTGCGATCTGGACTAGATACGTCCAACGTGTTGTTTTTGATCTTGTAGGTTTTCTCTTTTTGTATAAAGCTTGCACGTTTATAGAGCATGGTGACGATCGCTGCGAGATCACCGTCAGTTACAAAACGCACGCTAATAGTCGTCCACATAATATTGCACAGTTATACGACTTGGGCAATGTTTCTCACCTACAAGCCCGTCGAGTACTGTTCTGGAAAGTCCATACCTGTCGGACGCGGTCCTGACATAATCTTTTGCACTATGAGCGGGACCTTGATGTGTGTGGGCGCTATGGACATATCTGATCGCTTTTGCTTCCATGTGGACATTAAATTTCGAGCTTTTTCAAGTCGACGACAAGATCAGCGTCTGCTCGATTCTGGTCGCCACGACGCTGTTCTTTGACACTGACAGTGGACTGCTACAATCTCGCAGTAGTATGTGACGACATGACGTTAAAGTGCATGTTATAGATTCATACAAGTAATAGTGACATGCTCTCAAGCGCTGCCAAACCGGGTGAAGGCGACACTTACACCGCCATCAACGGGGTCGCATCCGCCGATAGAGGGAGATGAAGTTATATCCAACACTAGAACGCCGAGATTCGTAAACAGAGCTTTAGATTACAACTCTTTTTTGGCGCATGGTAAAAGGTACGAATGAGATCGGTGTCCACCTTTCGTGAGCCTATAGCGAGTGCTCGATAAAAACACTTTACTACTTTTAGTCGATGGTGCTTGCCAACAATCTGCGAAGCATTTGTGCGAAAGCAGAGCAGACATTTTTTTGCATCATCCCTCTGTACGACCACTACTGCACAACGATCGGCACCTATCGTACACATGTTATGTGGTTTACCAATCAATCGTTCTTTCACAGACAAGGGGCTATCCTGACACAGATTCAGGGAAAGCTCGATCAAAAGTTTGTGTGCCGTATAATGCAAGTTCTTGTTCGAAGAGGTGATCTTCGCTACAACGGATGCGTCTGATTACATTCGTGACACGTGAACCTTTGCTTCAATCATTCTTGTACCTTTCCCGACTGAAACCCAGCTGTTACCATTTTTGAACGATGCGAATTTCGCCCCAGATGTATTTGACACGTAGTGATCAGTGCGTCGTGGTCGTTCATCGGATCGTTAACGTAGGCAAAGATCTTTAGCTGTCCATGTTTTGCTGAACGAAGGTAAATCATGTGACATTTGTACGAGAGATGCAGAATGCTGCGCGATAGTGGTCGTCCAGCGGTATGGTGGCGCAGTGTTTGTCGTACGAACCATAGTGTGGTGTGGTTTAGGTGTGGTGTAAGGGAGAAATATAGTAAAAAGTGGAGTGCATTTATCAATGCCCTTTTCGAACGGTCACTACCTAATCAGATTTACTTCGCTCATCCTTTTGGGCATATCTGATTCAATTTTTTCAAAAATGGACAGGATAGACTGTTGGGTGTAAGCTAGTAGATGCACCCTTTTGGGCACATCTGATTCAGCTTTTTAAAAATGGACAGGATAGATTGTTGGGTGTAAGCTGGTAGATGCACCCAAATGAACAATAAGAGTAGACGCAAAATACTTCGAGATTAGAAGATCGAAAACTAGTCGAATGCTAAACGAATCGGATACAAATTCACGGTGATGAAAATAATACGGCAATATCAAATGTGTCAACTTTACATACGACAAACACACGACACGTGTACCACATTTATAAAAGACAAGCGCCCACTATTCCACTTCCCGTCCTTGTCCGATCTCAAACTGTCATGATGTGCTTACAAACGCTAAGCTGCGACTTCATGTAAGACGAAGTTGCAAGATAATCCTGTAGAATTTGATGTTGTAAGCTTTTTTGCACGTTAGATTGGCACGAGAATTTGGTGGCATCGCTGCAAGCTGACACGTTTTAGCTGCCGCTAAAAACATGCTTCAATCCACGTGGTGTCGTACACTTCCACGAGCCAGCCATTTTTACTTAGCAACGCTGAGGGTTTTGCTTCATCCTTCAGTATTATTTAACTCCATAGGATCCGCTTCCAGTTCATTACCGTACTCTTTCTGCAGTGCCCATGAAAAACGTTTTAATGCTGCATTTCTTCGAGACGCTTTAAGCAATTCGAACACTTGACTGGAAGGCACGAAATTCCATTTTGAAGGACCGAAAGATTCCCTAAAATATCTTGCGCAACAGAAATAACAAACACGCTGCGCACGATCTGCTATATCACAACCATTTGGCAGCGGATAGAACGGGAGGATACACTACTGATTTAGAATATATTACTACCTTTGTGATTTCACTCGAATTCGCGTTCACCTTCGTCAACAAATGCTGCTCACTTTGCTGTTATTCGTCGGTGCTTTTATCGTTGGTACTGCATACGCAAAAACATGACTTGGTGAGAATGAAATGTAGCGAGGGAGGCATCAATGGGCTAGTGGCCCGAAATCTTTTAAAAAGCAGATGATGGAATCGACAGAGTCGCGCTGAGTAGATTTTGATTGACACGACAGATACAGTATCTTTGTTTTCGTGACTCGGTCGAAATCCCAAGCACAATGAACTGAGATTTGTTTTGTCACCTTTGCAACAAGCTCAACCTTAACCTGAGTTGAAAGTGCTAAGAAGAGGCTTTGTAGTCTCAGCAAAAATGATCGCTCGTAAAAACCATCATCGTGAAAAATCAAGTTACCCCAAATAAAAAGACCACCACTGATGCTCATTCTTAGTTACGATCAGTTTCTGATCACCATGTTATCCGAAGCATGCGTACGTTTGTTCGGTCGTGGACGTACGTGAAACCATTCAAGTCATCTTCGTTCGTACCGTACAACAAAAAATACGTGGAAAAAAGCAAAACATGTTTTGTGGTAGCATTTCTCTTCTCCTGACCTTGCAGCATTGTTTTATTGTCAGAAAAACTTATATTCTTTTGCTCACTTTGGCATCAAATATAGTTATCAACCTTTTTTCATCCTCTTATTTACACATCTCACTTTTAATCCGCATATCATTGGTAGAAAACTCACATTCTGATACCTCCCCCCCCTCCCTCCCTCGAGTAATACGCCATCCCCCAAAAGCTCCCCAGCAGCCGCTCATATCTTCCCTCGCCCTCTTCCTCACCAAGTCCCAGCCACTCCCTCCCTCATGAGCGTCGTCGGCGATACTCCATACGACTACATCGTCATTGGCGGCGGGAGCGGCGGCATGGCCTCCGCCCGTCGAGCGGCCACCTACGGCGCCAAAGTTTTGGTCATCGAGCGCGGCCGCCACTACGACGGCATGGGCCTCGGCGGCACGTGCGTGAACTTTGGCTGCGTCCCCAAGAAGATCATGTTCAACACGGCCGCGCACGTCGAGCACCTGAATCGCGCCCAGGATTACAGCATCCGCACGGCGGAATTCGCGTTTGGCGATTTTGATTGGTCGAAAATGAAAACCAAACGCGACGCTTACATTGACCGGTTAACCGGTATTTACCAGCGGAACCTCGGTAATGCTCGAGTGGACCACGTCGAAGGGATCGCCAAGTTTGTAGCCGCGGACAAGGTCCAAGTCGCTGACCGCGTGTTCACGGGCAAGCACGTGTTAGTCGCTCCTGGCGGCGTCCCGTGGAAGCCGGATCTCCCTGGGATCAACCACGTGATTGACAGCGATGACTTCTTCCGGCTGGAGCAACAGCCGCGGAAAGTCGCGGTGGTCGGGGCTGGCTACATTGCAGTGGAGATGGCGGGCATTTTTCATGCTTTGAAGAGCGACACGACGCTCTTTTGTCGCCACGACCAGGTGCTGCGTCGGTTTGAACCCATTGTGCGGGATTTGGTGAATGAAGAGATGGAGAAAGCAGGGGTCACGTTCGTGCGCAACATGAGCGCGGTTGGAGTCGAGAAACAACCGGACGGCAAGCTGACGCTGGTCGTGAATGTTCATCACGAGGAACAAAAGTTCACGGACTTTGACACGATTCTGTTCGCTGTTGGCCGCAAGCCACGCACGGAGGATCTTGGTCTGGAAGATATTGGGGTCAAGCTTGCCGAAGGTGGATTTATTCAAGTGGATGCCCAGGAGAACACGTCCGTGCCAGGTGTGTACGCTATCGGCGACGCCACCGTGACGGGCTGGGAACTCACGCCAGTGGCTATTGCTGCGGGCCGTCGACTGGCCGACCGACTGTTTGGTGGCGAGAAGGACGCGTGCCTTAACTACCACCAGATCCCGTCGGTGATCTTTAGCCACCCGCCTATTGGCACGATCGGATACACTGAGCCGGAGGCCGTTGCTAAGTACGGCGAGGAGAATGTCAAGGTGTACACGAGCAAGTTTGTGAACCTGCTGCACGCGATGGCGGATCCGGAGCATAAGGGCAAGACGGCGATGAAGCTTGTGACCGTGGGCGAGCAAGAGACTGTTGTTGGTGTACACGTGGTGGGTGAGGGCGCGGATGAGATGATTCAGGGCTTCGGTGTGGCGGTCAAGATGAACGCTACCAAAGCGGACTTCGACAACATTGTGGCGATTCACCCGACGGCTTCCGAGGAGCTCGTTACTATGGCACCGTGGGGCATGATCAAGGACAAGATCGCGCTACCACCGAAACCGGCGCGCTCCGGACCGACGGTCGGACAGTAGTCAAGGAATGGCTCGCTACAAGCGCGATGATCAAAACGCAAAGTAGCTGTGGAGGAGCCTTCCAGAAGAATCGCATCTTTCGTTGCAGAGGTCGTCTTGGTTCTAGTGTTTGTGCCAGCGCCTTTGAACAACAGTCCATGAGCCGAACATCAGTAGGTGAGACTGTGCCCTCACTTGGCTGCACTTGTATTTGTCCATGAAATGATCCGCCTGATGACATGCGCTGTATCACATCCATCTGCTTTACGAGCTCGGAAGCAGAAAGTCGTACGAATAGCTGCGCAAGCAATTGACGACGCAGCAGAATGTCCTAAGATGATGAAAAACATTCGCGATGAAGCAAACAATCGCAATAGCTCTCGCTCTGCAAGAACATTGCGCACGGGAAACAGCAGACGAAAAGTAGGGGACGGGTGTGCGCATGATCCTGGGATCATCACGACCGAGTCGTTCATCTTCTGTTCTGCGAAGAACAGGTCTTTATTGCGAGCCATATCCGACTCTTCTTCGACACTCCCTTGGAAACAAGCCACAGTCCAAGCATCGTGCCAATGGCATCATCCGGCACCCCATCCGCAGCTCTGCGGGTCCTCTGTCCTAGCAGCTCAGCTCATCCCGTTCTCTCATCAGCAACTGTATCCATCCATGACGCCTTCCCCTACTGAGGCGTTTCCATCACACTCTTCACGAGCGGTGGGTACAGTTTTGACACGACCATCTGACGGTGGAGCATGTCCGCCTGCTGGCGCGCGGCCTCGAGCGCCTGTTTCTGTTCCGTGCTGTCCGCTTTTATCTTCTTGTTTGTATGGAACTCCTCCTTGATGCGGCGCAAGGCGTAGTGGCTAAAGTTGTAATTCTGCACCAACAGTTAGAGAGCAATTTAGAAAACGAGAGAGAGACCCACGGGACTGGACGCGCTCCAGCTTTCGCGTTACGGAGCGCTTTGAGATGGCAGTGACTGTGTCAGAGAAAGGGACGCGCGAGGAGACAGCCACGCACCTCGAGCTTGGCAGCGCTACGCAGCATCTCACGGTAGAGACGAAGGACCGACGACGACGACGACAGGGACGGCATTTTGGGTAACGACGTTTTGCTGACCACTGACCGGTTTGTGGAGCGAGCAACTTTAATTTCTAATGGGAGTTGGGCTATGTTGCAGTAGGAAAAAAGCGGCGAGGGGGTGTCTTATTTTGGGATCATTTGTATACTTTGTGGTGGAGATCTAATTTTTAGCGATGGGGGTTTATCGTAGTTTCGGAAAGATTTGTCGGGTGAAGGGTCTGAGCGGCTGGATGTAATTTAGAACAGGACAAAATAGCATCGACTCGACAGAAGCTTGAACGTGTGCTCGATTCGCAGCTCCATTCAATGACTGACAAGTTCTCCAATACTAAATATGAAGCCGATGATGATATCCCGATTGCTTCAATTCAATCTTCCAACCATCTCAATCGAGTATGTGTACATGAACACTGTACAATCGATGTGAGCCATAGTTAATCCACAGGCGACTACTGGAGTAATGCACATAGTGAATATGGTCCTTCGTCTCTACGTCCTTACATTCTTAATCAAATTCTTTTCATAATCTACTTGGATTTATCGATTCGAGGACGTCATCGTCTCTATGTAATACTTGTGTCATTAGCAAGCACACGCTTTTGCGACAAAGATAATGGTGGCTCCGGTCACTGCTGCACTTTCATAATCCCTTGAGATATTTCCTGAAATGCATAGGTCTGCTTCACTCTTTTGTTGCATACGTAACCCACAAGATGTTTCGTGCTTTACAATCTTTATCACGACGCAATAATTCATCGTAGAGGGAACTACGATCTCCGGTTAGACACAAAACAAACATGAACACCAATCGTGGGAGACCTTACGGTTGACTGCCAGCAGCTAGAGCCGACTTGGTGCTCGATTGGTATTTTCCCACGCAAAACCGACCGAGCAGATTGTGCCTAACTCGGTCCGCCCATACACATGTAAAAATTGTGATCATAGAGCACTCGAGTATACGGAGCAAGCTCACCATCGTCAGCAAAAAGGTGAGTTTACTTTCCATACTTGTTACAGAAAGTGCTCCATCTGTCTAGTGATATGCTTGCTTTCACGTGGTCAAGAGGGATGTCTGAGCATTATCAATTTAGACTGGTTATGCTGCAAGTTGCAGCTCAACGTACTCCACGCTCGTGCAACACATTGTTCCTTGCAGCCCCGACATATCTGACTCAGTTTTGGTAAGAGCCGGCGGTATTCGCTGGAGTAGAAATGAGACAGCACCCTCGTGTTACACATGTTCCGAATTTTCTGCTGGGTGGTACTACATTTGTTGACTTCCGATTTGCGTGGGTGAGAGATTGGAATCTCTTGTTCATTCACGATCATAAGCGAATGTCAATGTCACCTGGACGATCCAAGTTGTCAAGTTTCTACATTGTTTGTAAAACTGAACGTCCACTTGGCGGCAATACGGCAGCTTGAAAGTGCTTGCTATTGATCATTTCGTGATGTGGGCACCCGGTCATTATACGACACTAGATAACGTGCAAGTGTCATCTAAAGTCGGCATCACGTGCATAAAAGGTGAGCTACAACGCATTTCTCTCATAAAATGAAGGTTTTGCACGGAGCGTAACACAAAACGATTCATTACTTACCATTTCGCGGTTACAATACGGTACCGCGAGCAGGTACTCGATGTTTGCTCTCAGGCATCCTCGATTCCAGCTTCTCAACACTAGTAATAGTTGTTGCGAATGTATTGGTCGGACGAGCGCCGATTTCGCGTGACCTCAGTTGCCAGCTGATGATTTGCATACAAAGCCTCGATTGCTTTCATGCGCGTAGCATTCAGATACAACGGCCGTCCACGACGAAGACCAATGTCTTGTTCGCCAAACATGTCGAGATAAGGAGATCCAAAGAAGGAACTACGCGAACCAAATACCAGTAACACTGACGACGACCGCACGAGAAAGAAGAGGCCAACACTAGCGCCACATTTCATAGCGTGGTGCGTGCAAGCGCCCATGCCATCGCTACTTCGTCGGCAACACTCCATCCCAGCACACAAAACTTGCTCACATACGAGGCAAATAGCTGGATTCTCCATTGTTTTCCCCGTCTGCTTGCACTTGCTTTTGCCTAGCACTGCAGAGTGCAGGTCCGTGTACAAAGGGGGCAACTGCACCAGCCGGATCCGTGCAACGTGAAACGAATTCTTCTTCAAGTGTGGGTCCGGCTTCAGTTGCAGCGGAAGGTTTAGGATTCTTCCCAAGTTGCTTCGAGAAATTACTGCTTCTCTCTCCAAAGAGCCTCCCATCCTTTCGTCAGAATCGAATTTCGTCAGCTCCGCAACAATCGAGTCAGCTTGGCAGTGTTGACTGTAGCGAAGCTGTAAAACTTCAGGAACATCAGCACTGGTGGGGCGAAGACGAAGCTCCTGTGCTGCCTGCAGGAGATACCCTACAAGTGCCTCATCTGCCAGCAACTGAGTGATGTGCGGCAATCCTATTTGTTGACACATGTCATTGTACTTTGTGCTAAGCCGCAGCGAAGTCACAAAGTTGGCGCTCCATGATGCATCGGGATCTTGCTCGCCTCGAAAAAACGCGCGCAATAAAAGCGTCACCTGCCGCATAAACGTCAGGCACGATGACTCGAACAGAAGCTCGAGTTGTCGTCCTTGAGGAGCTGGGCGTCGGTGAGAACCGCCTGTTGAGTTCATTTCTTCGTACCGTTTATTGGCGTTAACAACAACGTCTACACCGGCTTCTTGTGCAAGACGTCCCATGAGAACTTCCAAACCACGCTGCCGTTCACTTGATTGCTCGGATGATAAGTTACCAGTTCCTGTGGTATCCCTCCTTTGAGCTTCGTTCTGTTCTTCCTCCAGGCAATCAGTCTTTTCTTCAGCTTCGATTTGTGCGATTTGAATAAGCACTTGTGCCATGTGCAAGACGCAGAGTGACCGAATAGTGAGCAAGATGTCAGCCTTTGTCGTCAGCATGCTACTACAAATTGCAACGCTGAGGTAGAGCAGATCTTGGCCCAAAACTGGTCGATCCACCTGCAGCGGCGGTCCTTCTGGCAGTGCCTGTGACCACTGTTCAAGTGAAAGAGCAAGACGAAAATTCTGAGCGATCGGGGAGCACATGCTCTTGTAGAACCCTCGACGATGCTTTGCAAATAGCAAGGGCACGTGGCGCAATGAGCGGAGTATCACGTTTAATTTGCTGTCATACTTGGGGGAGAGTTGGTCCAACTGTAGATCCAACGCGTCAGGCAACGACACAGCCACTCGAGTCTTCAGGCACGGCGCAACTGGATTCAGAATATTCGAAAGGCTTAGCGAAGAAAATGAAGATACCGCAACTGCTGAACCAGTACTGCTACGAGCGGAATTCCATCGCCACGAGGCATCTTCATGCCCATTCTTTGAAACAGAAGCATTCGAATCAAGCGAGCTCATTGCTAACGAGATGCAGCTTAGCTGAGTGCTAGCTATGGTCGACGCAACTGAAGACCAAATCAGGTGAGTCAGCTGCGCTCCAGTGGAATAGAACCCTTTCTTAACGGCACTCACTGCAGGCGCAAGGTGCGTCATTTCCGGTTGGAACCGTACCATTATTTCCAAAAGTGATCCGGCGAAATGGTTCATAGCACTGATGTCATCCTGTTGCTGCATCCGGACCCCTTCCCCATCTTCATCATCTCGACCCACTACGCCATCGAGGGCAAGGGACTCTAATCGACTCGGTAGTCCCTCTGATAACCATGACAAAATGCAAGTCGTATCCCGCGAAGACTGGAATACGCGCTCCATGGCATCGCGGTCGCGCTGCTGTTCCATTGATGTCAAAGGAGAGCAAATTGGAAGCCACGGCACGAGCATTGAACTCAGCGCTTGGCAAAGCGGGCAGAGGAATTCACCGATTTGTGCATCGAATGCTATGTTTGTCCGGTTTTGTCCAAGGATGGCTTGAGATTGTGCCCTTACTGACTCAAAATATTGCTGCCAGCAGTGTAGATGCACGGCATGGCCACACAGTGACAAATGAAGTTGAGGTGGGAAAGGTGTCGCATTACATGCTGCGGTGCTGTTGCTGCTACTATCTTGGTTTCCGTCCATGACAGCAGCATCCACACAGCCGGGATGATTGCCCCGTGCGTGCGCACAAACTTGACTCATCTGTGCGTGACCTATGTACATGATCGGTGCATCCTTCTTTTTCTGGGTGCAGATAATGCAGTCTGGAGGTGGCGGTGGTCGATACACATATGTCCGTCTTGGTGTTCCATGATGAAAATGGTCTGCGACAATATCACAATCACCGCTACATTCAAAATGCGCTGAATCTTCATTCTCTTTTTCGTCCTCGCCTTCATTGGAAAGAGCGAAAGACTCCGCAAATTCTTTTTGACGCGCCATCATCGCTGCGATAGCACGCTCCTGGTTTATCTTCTTTAGCTCAGATTTGGACACTGCGTTCTTCGTAACTAGCTCTTTGCGATTTTGTAGACTACTCCGAACTTTGTCCTCGACGTAGACGCGAATAGTGCAGTCCAACGCAGCTAGCTTGTTCAAGATCCAATAGATTGCTGACACCGTTGACTTTGCGTTTTCAAAGTCATGCTTCGCCATATCCTTCGACAGCGCCACGAGTAACGCAACGATACTCGAGTCATTCACCTCGCTCGGGTCGCTCTGGTCGCCGTCATTTGTCATACGCATAATGCCGTCATCGGATGACGATGACTGTCGTTTCAAACGCTTTTTTCCACGATGTGTAGTGTCGGCTTCCTCATAAGCAGTGGGGCCGCTGCGTAGAAGTGCCAAGGTTTGCCGCCTCGTACTGTCTGACGATACAGCTCCGTATTGCTGTGGCAGAAGGGTACTGTCAGCACCTCGCTCTAGTACAAGCACTGCCAAATTGATAATGTGAATAGCACGCATCACCACCATAGCGTTTGTTCTTGTGCTCCCAGTGGTGCAACTCGTGCCTTCGCAGTCACAAGCAGCATGAGCATTCGCATCATCCAGGATAAGCCGCAATATACCCAGCAAACCTTCCTCTAGCACAATCAATCGCAATGCACGGAGTGACGGATGAGGGGGTGGTACTTGCGCCACTAACGGAATAGGTGGGTCCGAGATCTGCCACGTTTTGAACAAAGCCTCTTGTCGCGCAAGTTGGGCCTTCTCATGACCAGAGCAACTCATGTGGTAGAACGAAGGGTCGTATTCTATAAAATATGCCTTTTTCAACATGTACACGGTAGGTCCCATTGCCCCATCCCCGGTGCTAGCTTTGTCGTCCCTGTCATCACCGGGAGGAGCAAAGCCAATAGAGTATTTGACCTGCTCGTCAGCCACTTCATCCAAAATACGCTTCAGGCGAGTAATGTGCAGTTCTTTTTGTCGAGCTGATATACCACCAGCAGGTGTTGAAATAACAAACTCAGTCTGATCGAGCAGTTCTGAAAACCGGCAAGAGTGTTGGCTTAGCTGATGGATGACTTCGCGACGAAGCACCGCGTCTCGTTGTTCGATCTCATCCAACGATGGTGGAACTTCGGTAGTAATCCAGGTAAGCTGCAGTAAAGCAGCTTCCAACATGCTTACTTGCTTTTCGTCCTTTGAACCGCTATCGAGTGGCTCACGAGCTAAACTATCAACACTCTCATCAGCAACAGTGACACTATTCCACGTGAGAAGCCATTCCGAAAGACCGAATCGGTCGAAGAAAATCGTCAGAAATTTAGGGAAGCCCACGATTGTTGCACTGACTTGCACAAGAAATAGGTCCAAGTCGCGCAGCTCACTGCACCACGGCGGGCAAGTGTAGTGCATTACTTGACGTCGCATCTTCTGCCCATTGCGGATCCAAAGACCACAGCTTATCTGTGCACAGAGTACCAAGGAGCGCAGCGGATATTCCAAAATGCTATACACCAGCATGCTCTTCTTATAGTCAACGCCATTAGATTTCTTCTCATCCTTGGTCTCCTTCAGCAGCAATACATTTGCCATCGAGCGCTCTACAATTGCGCCCCAGTTCGTATCACTTGGAGAAGCAGTTCCGAAAGAAGAAGGTGGGCTGTAGTAGAGGGACTCACTTAAGAATCTACCCAACAGACAGTGGAGCGGGTTATGGAAGGACACGGGCTCTGTTGACACGTCATGCTTTACGATCTTCTCAACAGATGATAATCCCATCAATCTGCCACATGGTGGGACATACAAAGGCAGCCGAGGTGCAGCAGAACCAGCCTGATTCAACTGAGTCCAAATTCCTTCTAGCACGTTAGCTACTACCTGTTCATAATCCTGGTTGCGCATTTGCGTATTTGAAGCCTCGTGATGGCGAAGCCCAGTCGAGATCATCGTTATGATTTTGCTTACGTTGGCCTGCAGGTCAAATGCAGTTAGCCATGACTGACTTTCGTATATCACATGTGCGCGACTATCCTGTATTCGGACTTGAGGGTCCAAGCCCTGAATTCGTCCAAGAGTCGTCAAAAACTTTTCTAATAAATCACACCGAAGAAGTAGCGCACTCGACATTGCCGGAACACCTAACACGTATCCTAAATGTTCGAATAAAAAGTGATACCGCTTGAATTTAAGCAACGGGTGATCACAGTCAAGCGTGTGGGATGTATACTGATGCTGGTGCGGCGTTAGCGTTAGGGCCTGCACTATCTCAAAAGCCGTGTGAATTGTATCCAGAAGCATATCAAGCAACCCCATGCTTGCCAAATGATGCACGATTGAAGGGGTCGTGAAAATCTGTACGCCGTATTGGAAAAGCGATTCTTTGCGCGTTCCGATACCACAAAAATACTTACCCATTAGACGAGTGTACACCTTGTAGAAAACCACCGATAACTGCAGCTTTGGACCTTTGTCGCCCTGTAACTTTAAATATAATTCGTACAGTTCCAGGGCGATATCTTTGCGAAAATATGGGTGTGAGAGAAACATAACCTCAATCGGCTCTTTTCCTTGCTCGTCCACGGCAAATAACTTCTCACAAAAAAGCACGTGCAGCTCCTTGGAAAGTGAGCAAATCGTCTTCACCCATCGTATAATCCGCAACAACACGTTTTCTTCGTGTACGAAATTGTCCTGCACCACAGACACATGCCAACCTTCATTTTGTAACGCCTGCATGAGCGTCAGTGCGTCACGTAGCATCAAATTTTGAGCTACAATCTCGGACCCGTTCGAGTCAATGGCGCGTACAAGATCGTCTGCCCTTAGAATATGCTTTTGAGACAAAGACACGATCAAATCTTCGTCCGAATGTACATCATCGTTGCCAATTCTCACATGGAACAGCCGTTCCATCAACTGTCCATCTTCCAGACTGACCCCGCGTTCTTGTAGCTCTAGCCACAATTCATCAAGCTTCTGTCTTCCTTGTTCATCTACAAACTCAGCATCAAACACCTGCATCGACTTCTTGGCCATCTCAACACAGAAATTTACAATCCATGTAAAAAGCGCGTCTGCGACTTGGACGATTTCTTTTGGTAGCAAATCTGAAATTGCACTCTTTGAATCTGCAGCAACGCTATCTTGTGTTTGCCCATGATCGACGCAGAATCCCTCTGGCGCCCACGCTTCACTATCTCCGCAATCGCAGACACCTCCTGGACTCGTGCGATGAAATAACACATCGTGGCCTTCGTGGTTGCCATTCTGGAAACACTTGACGCACAAGACACATGTTTCATCGAATCCGCACGTCTTGCAATTAAATGCAATGTCATCACGTTGAAACAAATAGCCACAAAGTTCCTGCGTGCTATTCTTGGGCTTCACTTGATCAAAAAAAACGTCTCTTGAAACAAATGGTAGCGGATCTTCAATACATTGTGCTTTTGTAGCCATGTCCATCGAACGATCTTGATTCAGTAGACGATCAGCATGAGCCAATAGGATCGCATCAAGAAAAGTATCCACTTCTTCTAAAGGTACGAAAGGCACCTTCGCCTCATCATCCCCCACCACCGACGCATGTCGCAGTTTCGACATCAACCTCGGAATCATCACAACACAATTGCTTTCCATAGTCTCAGTCTCAGTCTGCAGCAAGTGACGCAGGGTCGTCACGTCCTTCGGAATAGGTAAAAACGTCGCCATCTCGCTCCTGTAGATAGTCCCACAGCGTCTAGTTAGTGGATTAAAGTAGCACCCAACCTCGTCACTGTGCACGGAGCTGAGATGAACGCGTACTTAGAGCTCTTTCGCTAAAAAGGACGTGAGAGTGGGACCTGGGTGAAAGAATTGTCGAAACGAGGAGCGCACTTAGCGAGTGGGTCCGGCCGGCATCGTCGCGGAGGCGGGACGACGCGTTTTAATGTGGACCACACTATGCAACAGGCAAGTGGGACGAAAACAAGGATACTTTGCCAATAGGAGACGAGGGAGGTCATTTCGTGTTGATTCTATGATTGACTTTTAACTGAACTTTTCACGGCTTGGCACTTGCACATCAACTTGAACCGTAGGACACCACCGACTTGCCATCTACATTTGCGACTTGCTCTCCTGGTCGTGTCTACAAGCACGACACGACTTACTCATTCCACGAGTTTTCCTGTTCAGCTATAGACCTGGGCGCCAACCTGACGGGGCCACGTCGTGCGCACAAGCTCAGCAAACGGTGGACCTTGTAACTTGGCAACTGGAGCAGAGCTTGAACGTCTTCTTTCACCCGTGCCCGAACTTTGGTCGATGGCTTCACCCAGCACGTCGTGGCGAAGAGAATAGCTTGGCTCGTCAACAAAGTCGCTGCTACCACGAAAAAGCAGCTGCGCTTGAGAGGTGCTGAGCTCTTTGCGTCGCCACACACGCAAGTCATAGACGAGGCCACTAAAGCCGAACCAACCGGAAAAGTGTGGCTCTGGCTTAGCTGGTGCAAGACCGCTGATACAGCCCGAACCGACATTCACGTGTCGCAATTTTGCCCAATCTTCAAGCAAAGCACCAGCGTCCGAGACACGCAGCTCTCCATTCAAGTAAATAGTCAGCAGCTGCTCCGGCTGGTCAGTTCTCGTAAAATTCACGCAGTCCGAGCCAGCATCACCGCCGTACGCCACGACTAGATGATACCAGTGATTAGGCACCAACTCACGAGCCACGCATATCGGACTGGGACGGCTGAGCAACGAGCACCACAGATTGCCCAAAGGGTCGACAGAAAGCAACTGCTGATAAGCAAATGGCCAACCGCTAGCATCGCTAGTCTCCTGAAAAGGTAAATCTTGAGCTCCTAGCAAAATGCCACCCAGAAACGTATCCCCAAGCTCAGCTAGCGAAAACCATATTTCGATGGAGAAGGGGTCGGCAGCGTTCCTGGCTTCTGTCTCGTGCTCAATGTCGTCACCACTGCCCGTTAGCATGTGACTCAAGGATCCTGGCAAAGGCAGCGCAGAACCTCGATCACGCCAGCGTGGGTCGATCAGCAGTCCGCGGAAACGAAATGAGTCTGTAAGTAGACTTGGTTCACGCTTAAAAGACACATCGAGAGGCCGCGGCGAGCTTTGGACGATGGCACCAATTTGAAGGCGGTCTAGACCACGGACGTTCTGACCGTTTATTGCAACAATAACATCACCACGCTTCACGCGCCCCGAGGCCTCGATCTCTCCAGCTGCGCCGGACTCGGTTCGCAAGAATTTGCTTACAACCACACGGTTTCCAATCGAGTTGATCTTTACTCCCAACCACTTTTGACGAAGTTCCACGACGGACACAATCGGGTTTGCTGAACCAAGTTCTGTCTGCTGCGGCGACTCCGTAAGTTTACGGTCGGAAAATCCAACGTCGACGAACTTTGTTGTTAGGTTGTGCGTAGAATTACTCGGTTGCCGGATAAGCTCTGGTGCATTCGATACAGGCTTTGTTGCCGCTATGAAAGGGGAAGCCGCCCCGCGTAAGTGGTCTGCACTTGACGCTCGATGTAATGGTAGCGCAGGCATGGACGCGTCTTCGAAATTTTTATCATCACCATCACGCTCATGCTCTTCCTCAGCTAGTGCATGTAGCTCCTCCACAACAGTGTTTATATCAGGCCTGGCGGCCTGATCAGGATCGCACATGGCTTCGATTAATGACCACATATTCTCTTCTACTCCGACCGGAGGAGGAGGCATTTGGCCAGCCATAACTCGTTCCCGGACTTCTTCATCAGCCATAAATCCATACGGTAAGTCTTCCGATAGAGCCTCCAGTAGTGTCATTCCAAACGCATAAATGTCTGAAGCCAATGCAGCCTTCGGATGATCGTTCAGCAACTCCGGCGCTTGCCATCTGAGAGACCCTGAATGGGATGAGAAGGATCGAGACTGCTCAGTATCCGCTGAAACCCGCGATAAGGAGAACGAGCGCAAATTCGATAGTCTAGCTTGACCATCGTCCCCCACTAGAATATTTGCGCAGCGGATGTCGCCGTGTGTTAACGATGCTTCGTGCAAGCTCTGGAGCCCTGTAGCTGCTTGAGCAAGCAGGCGAACTAGCTGGCGTCCGTGATCCACCGACAAGTTAAGGTAGTCTTCCAACGAAATCACCGTCGCTGCTCCAACCTCAGGAGCTGCCCACGGGCTCACAAATGCTACAAATGGTTGGAGACCAAACGTTGACGCACCTGCTAGCTGGAGGACATGCGGGTGGCACACGACATCGCGTAGTAGTTCAGCTTCACGCTGCACAGCCTCAACAGCATGCACAAGAGATGTTTCCAACTCTGCCTTCGCTCCACCAGCCGCGACAAAGTGTTTGATCAGAAGTCGCTGCACACCACCCGGCCGCTGACCTCGACTATGCATCCAACTAGCGCTCGTGATTTGACATTGTGGACCACCGCGGAGCTGCGTGCTCGGCATAAGAGCTACTTCAGCAGGCGACAAGAACCACGACTGGAGCACGGGCACTTGGACGCCACAGACGCGGACCAGCCTCCGAAACAAAACGCGCAAGGACTCTTCATGATCAGGCAAGAGTTCTGCTTCCTCCTCCTTCACTGCACGATTGTCCTCCTCCTCTTCCTCCATGTCCCCTGCACCTTCCCGACTGCTGACACAACTGCGACTGAGCCGCTGCTTCTTCTTCTTCTTCTCACTCCGTCTCGTCACGTCTTGCACTTGTTTGTAGGCAAATTTGACCACCGCAATCATCTCGCGCTGCTCATTGTCCGACCGCTCAGCAGCAGCGTCCACTTGTCCTTGAGCAGCCACAAGCAGCGCGTTCTCCACGCGCTCGAGCTCTTCCTCCCACTGTTGGGCCCAGCGAGCACTTGGGTCCACGTGTTCAGCGTGCAACCCACGGAAAGCCGCGTCCATCCACACGTGCAACACACGCAGTTCGCACACTGGAGACGGGGCGCCTGCGAGTCGGAACACGGCGCTTTCGGTCGCAGCGAGCCGCTCGAGCAACAGCGTAAAGCGCGCCAGCGCTGCATCGACTTGGACCGGCCATTGCAGAACGACGGGGGACGGCGCGGCACCTTCGGACGACAGTTGCTCCGTCTGCTGCCGGAAGTGGTCCGTGTAGCCACAGATCGCCGCGAGACGAGCGAGTAGCGTCTCGCACAGCGGCCGCAGCTCCCACGAGCGCTCGCAGAGCGTCTGCATGGCCATAACGGCGGGCTCCATGCGTCGCGAGAGAGAGAGACGAGCGACGACGAGGAGGAGGACGAGCGAGTGAAGACGAGGTGCGGTTGCTACGGCGCAGACGAGGCACCGAAACTGGGCATACCACGAGGTGACAGGAGGTGCTGCGTGTACCGGTAGTGATACCGGTACCATTCAGTAGGAGGTGCTGCTTGTGCCAGTAGCGATACCGGTAATATTCAGTATCAACAGAGTGTGTAGCAGATCTGAACACTCAAGCGACGAGGCGAGTGGGCGACATAAAAGAGGCAGGATAGTGACTAGCAATTGAGACTAAACATGTGGGACCAAAGCATCCCACTGGTAAATAAATCGTGTCCTCCTTAGCAATTGAGACTGACGTGTGGGACCAAAGCATCCCACTGGTAAATAAATCGTGTCCTTCTTAGCAACTGGTACTGCTGTCGTATTCCTCCGCGTGCCATTGCATGTCAACTTGGGACTGACACAAGTCGAAACCAAGCCAACCTTCAATTTCAGCTTGACGCCTCGTGCCGTCATTTTCAGCAGGTTCAACTGCATCCATCTTCGTCATGACATCGCGCAGCACCTGGAGCGATGACGTCGTTACATCGATGCGGCGAGCAACCACACTCGGCACACAAGAGAAAAAGACACGACTGCCCTCGTTTTCATCTCCCGTACTAGTGTCGTCCTTGTCATTGTCGTCGTCTTGAGATACCAGCAATGCAGCAGCGGAACGTAACTTGTCGCACAGTGCAAACGAGTGCACTTGGCTCCACATGACGTGACTGGAAACTATCACCACAGCACGCACATACGAAGCATTGTCTGCTTTGTCGACCGGCACCTTGATAAGAGCAAAAATAACTCGAAGATGGTCCTTGAGATACAAGGACGCCGACTTTCTCAGAACTTTCGCGACACAAGGGTTTTCCGCCATCACGGTGGCGCAGGTTCGCATCACATTCTCCATCGTGCGACTCCATTCAGTTCGAGCTTTCTGGTTACCCTGAAGCGTTTGAAGCGATGTGCCAAAGATAGCAGGCCACTCTTCCGTGCTAACCTTAGACAAGTATATCAGCATCCGGTAGAGCGAACAGACGATTTGACTCGACACTACATCCGCTGCAGTAGGCACTGCATCCACTTCACCACACGACTCGATGCTCTTGAAATAGTGCAATACCAATCGTTCACTAATGAGATTGACCAACGAAGATAGCCGACACTTGCTTGGAAGTAAGCTGCTACAGTGGCTCACAAGAATCGCGCGAACGAGTATAGTCATCACGCTGTACGGCTCAACATCACACAATTTGCGACTTGACTGCAGTATTTGCTGCCAGCAGTTGAGCTGGACAGCAGCATAATTGTCAAATTCACTGCTGCAGTCTTCCGACATGGACGTCATCTGGACGCAAAACGCTGGGGTGTAGCTCGATGCAGTGCAGAGGCTGAAGTAGAACCGGCCCGGGACGTTCGAGTCAAAAACAACATGCTGGACACTCCGGACGGCACTTAGTTCACGCAGCAATGTCTCTTGAAGTGTGGCTACTTCGATAAGAGAAGTCTCACTTGGTAGCACCAAGCACAAATCCACAACAGGTGAGGACATGCTCACTATTGTCGAATCCATCCTGTACAATGCACCATTATCTCTGGTCACTCGCTTCCAGGCGTTATCAATAATACCGATGCCTCGCAGAACAATGCTTTGCGTTTGCTCTTCAGTGTTAATGCCCAGTGAATCCAGCACCGCAAAAATAGTTGTGCACGGAGATCTTAGGGCCAAAATGTTTCGAACCACAACACTTTTGAGTCCAATTCGAGATACGCTCAAAGCAGCATTCTGAAAGCACTTAATCTCGCAAAGAGGCCATTGCAAAACTTCTGCATCGGTTGTCAATATCACGACCTGGTGGTGCGGCCCCAAACTAGCTGCATCCAGAAATTTGCTAATGGTCTCATCAAACCCTGTGGGTTCATGAAAACTGACTACATCGTCAAAAGATTGTGTAGCCGAAAGATGGAACCGCGCTTGCACTCTTTTCATCAGCACCGAAACTGGCAACGAAGACGTTTGGCCCTGCTGGGTACAAAGCAAACGTGCTTTACATCCCGATCCCATTTGGTACAGCACTTTCGCCATACCAAGAAGCTCCATCGTCCTTACTTCACTTTTATCGGCGAAATCGCTCTCTTTCACGTGCAAAATAAACAGTTTTGAGCTGGTACGCGTGTTTGTCTGCGGCGACACATCGTTGCCAGTGGCGCAACGTAAATGATCCACGCCATAGTCCACAGCATCAGCATCAAATGGTGACCTCGTCGTTATCACTTGCTCCCCTTCAATGTTCAAGACCGCACCGATGCGAGCACTTAAATCTAGCGGCGGATCGACTGCTGTCCGCTTTGCTAATGTGTTGGACAAAAGCTCATTGGAATACACAGGGCTCACGCGGTACGCAGTCGACAACGTGATATGTGGTATCTTGTTTCTCACTTGCAGATGCAACTTCTCATCGATCTCAACTCGGAGAGTTTGACCACGATCGTTTTGAACGACTTCGACTCCACGAACCGAAAATGGCGCACCAAGTTCAACATCCCGAACATACTGCAGATTGGGCTGGTAAAACAATGTCACGTGGTCAGCAAACTTCTTCGTGTGTACTAGACGAATCTGATCAACCAGTTTGGTCTTCGCCTTTTCCTCCAAAAATAGACCGATGTAAATCAAGTTCCCGGCATCACTATCCGATAGCGGGTTCCCTGAAAGCAAAGCGTGCTCAAACCGGGGCGTGAAAGAGTGAGCACGGCTATCTTCCTCCCATCGCATAAACATACTGACAACTTTGCGTGGAGGGACGCCATGATGATTGCGTTGCCCCATCCGGAATGCAGTCATGACGTCAGGACACTTCATTTCAACGATATAAACGCGACAACCATAAGTATGAGCGATCGCTTCGTACGGCGCGTATTCCCACTTCTGAGTGCTGGTGTTTTCAACCAGCACGATATGTTGATAACAACTGCTTTGCTTGTTTCCTTCCGATATAGCGCCCGTTACCGCCTTCTTAAAATCAAATCTGCATCTTTCGTGCGCGGCGCTCAGCTGCTTTCCATCAAACACATACCCTCGCGGCGTTGTAAAGTACGTGTCCGCCGAACATATCGTGAATGGTACCTTTTTGTACCTACATAACGCCGCAATTTCTTTTCCCAGTGTACTCTTTCCACTTCCTGGAATGCCTCGCATAACAATCACCACGGGTTTGCCACTACCCGAATTACTGCGAACCATCTCATCCACAAGAGCCACCAGGCCAGGATACCGTAGCTGTGCTACCGAAAAAGACTGCGGAGCTGCATCAAATGGCGGCAGCACGACCCGTTGAATCTCTTCTCGCTGTTCACCCACAACAGCATCAAGCACCACCTGACTCCACACCAGTCTTCCTTCCCACTGATACCTGTTTCCCTCCACGTTGCTGCACTCTACACCCAACGATAATAACGGTACCACCAACCGATTCGTCGGCAGCAGCACCCTCGACAGCACCTCACAGCTCTTGAGCCTCAGCATTAAACTGTTTGCAATGCGCCACACCGCATCCACAGACACTCCAGCAAAGGCCAAACTCAACGTCGCCTTCTTCGTCTTTACATCCTGCTTCAGTACCGTCTCCGCTTTCAGCTGCAGCTGCTCTCCATTCTCCTCCAATCCTTTGAGCGCCGCCAGCACGCGCTGCATCTCCACCACGTGCTGCCACTTGTCCAGACCGCACTCTAGCAGCTCCACACGCACGTCATGACGCGCTGTCACTGCCGAACTCCGTTGTGTTTCAAAGGTCCGTTCAAAGTCCAAGCAAATGTCCTGCAAAGGCTTTGCTTCGAGCGCTACTGGACAAAGTTCAAGCGCCACGCGCAATGCGCTCTGCTGGATGCCGCGTGTAGCATCTTCGTCCGTGGGTCCTTTGGGCGCTCGATGTCGCCCGCCGCGCCCGCGACTTGGAAACGAGCGACTGGACGAAGAGGTTGCGCGACTGCCGCGACGGTTTTCACCTCTCTGTGCCATGGCAAATTGGAGAATGAGCTGCTGAGTTTGAGTTGGCTTGACTCGGATGAGAAGCCGGAGACCAGGACCGTGCCTATTTTAGGATACAGGTTGAAGTGGATATGGCTACAGAGTCGAGACCTATTCGTCAACGACAGTTGACCAGTGAGTGAGTGAGTGACCAACGGTAATTGGACGAGAGTGATAGAAATGGACCGTCGATACGCGTTTGGCAACAAGTTGGTACTATGACTGGTTCGTCGAGAATAAAAAGGAGAAAGATGTCAGAGGTGTGGGTATCTGGATCACAGACTGCGATAAGGTATGGTGTTGTCTAGCATGATCGACGCCGTCTTTAATAGTGACGCGACTTCGGCTCGTCCGGCGCATGAATGAAACCTGGCACGCTGTTGCAGAAGTCCTGCATCTTCTGCACGCGTCTCCGCAGCTCGTTTTGCAACGACGTCTCGGCTGCAACAACTCCAGAAGGCAACAGCGACTCCACTGCGTCGTGTCCACTGAACGCCGCAGCTGCTGAAGCCAACGACTCCAGTCGATTGTCTGCGACAGCACAACTGGAGTCTTCAATAAAAGAGCCTTCCTCCTCGTGTCCGTCCAGCGCCAGTTCACGCTTGAGACTCTGAACCCGTTTCTCCCACTCCCGAATCTCCTTTGTCTGCACGGCATTGCGCTCCTCCATCTCCCGCGCGCGCACATCGTAGTCCAACGCCTGTTGTCGAAGTAATTGACTGGAGCAGCGAAAGAGCATCACTGCAGACGTCTGGGAGATGCCAGTCCGAGTGCTCCCGACAGCTCCAGACGTCCGTTTGCGTCTGCGGTTGACACGCGCAGCCACTTTGGGGTCGACTTGGTCCTTCTTCTGTCGGCCAGTCGCTGCTTTCGTCCCACACGTTTGCAACTGCTGCTGTTGTTGTTGCTCGGCTTCTTCGTCCAGTCCCTTTTCAGCGGTCGTCTGGTCACTAAAGCCTCCATCCATTATCGATGACCACACGATCTCTCTCTTTATTCCTCTTGGAGCTCCTGCTCTCGCTGAAGCTGCTGGACTTTTAGTTACTTCTAAAAATGGACTCTTCGGCTGATTTTTGTGTCACTTAATATTCACACTTCAGTTGATGATCACCTCCCTGCGTATGGAATTTCACAGGGTACTTTAAATGGCTACTTTTGTGACCAACCGGGGTTTCAGCCAATGAATTGCCTTGTGGTAGGCAGGTGGGGTACGTTGTAAATAACCTCTCAAATCACATACATCCTGCTGGCGTCTCTTGCGGTACCAAATTGATCATGCGAGACCCGAGTCTGCTGCTCAAGTGCGAAGAGTTCCTGCTTCATCCGACCGTCCGGGCGCTGTCGCTAGCTCAGCGAGTCGATTTCCTCGAGAAGAAGGTGCGTGCATGCAGTCTGTCTATACATAGGCCATCAGCAACGACGACAACAACAAACCTACTCGATTCTGCCGATCTCCTTGACTCACACAGCATTACCTGTCAAAACGAATATATAGGGGTTGACGCCAGCAGAGATTACGCAATGTCTGACAAGTCTCAAGCAGCGGAACGGCCTTTCGCAATTAGTGGGACACCCGATCTCCGATTTAGCAGCTTTCGCCCGTGCGCGCTGCTCTAAAACGTCGAGAGGAAGTGCTAATTCGCCTCGAGAGCTGCTCCAATTCGTCCTTCAAAAATATGGCATGGTGTCGCTTTGCATGGCACTGCTGGGCTTCACTTATGTCCAGTTAAAAAGCAGGAAAACGGAACAGCTGTTTTTGCAGCACAAGGCAGAAAAGACAGAACGTCAGAAGCGCCAGCACGCCAGAGTCGCGGCGCTATTGGCGGTGGTGAAAGACCAGCAGACGCAGTACAAACAGGCAGCTGAGCTCCTCAGAACTCGAGCAACAAGACTGTTTGAAGCAGCAGTAAAAGAAGAAGAAGAGAAAGCAGCAGATGATGCAGTGACGATTGATTTTGCTGCTACGTCATCGACAAAATTGTCGGCAATGCAAAGTACGCGACAATCGGAGGTTGAAGCACTCAAAACGGAGGTGATGGAGCTTAAAAGTGCCGTCGTGGACGCGTACCTGCAGTCTCCGATTGCTACGAAGATTGAAGTGGTCAAGGAGCGACCGCTGCTGCAGCGACCGTTGGAAGCCACAAAGGCGAATCGGTTGGAAGGAAAGAGCGTCGTGAGGAACGCAGTATTTACCGAGCGGATTACGAGTTTAAGTTCTGGTAACGGTGCTAGTCATTTGAAAGCAAAGGAAGCACGACTGATGTTGCCTGTGTGGTACGAGAGCGAAGATAAAAAGCAAAGCGGTATCAAGGACCAAACGGCTATGAGTTTTGGGGAGATTACCGAGATGTTTGAGCAAGGCCAGGCTCAAGAGCAGCTGTCGACAGCTGGACGTTATCGTCTTTTGTTTACCATGTAAATGGCTAATGTTATGGTGAGTACACCTTCGTGCAGCTTGCATGGTGCTGTCAAGCCTTGTCAAACACGCATAACTTGTCGACGATTTTTACAAATACTGCCAGCATGTCTGTGCAGTACATGGAGTCCGCAAACACTTGCAGCGTTCGCCACATCTTTGCTAACCTGCTTGTTTGAGGCCAAGAACATCGTGCTGATCCTTTTGTGTGCGAACAGGTCTTAGGAACATGCGAGTACGTCGCGAAAAATGAGCACAGTAGTGCGCGACGGAACAAGGATGGACAAGTCAAGAGTTGCAAGTTGAGTGAGGCCAGCATAAATCTGATGCAAGCAGAGCGAGAGAGAAGTCAGCGCGTCTGTAGAAAAGGATGCAGACGAAGCTAGTACAGGTGCTGTGGTGAGAACGCAGTTGTCTGGCGGGACCGATTAATCGACTGGGTAAAATGCGCACCAGCTGATCAATTGTTGCCATCACATATGGCGCCTGGGTGTCGGCACAAAACGACTTCACTATCTGAAATTTGCGCATCAAAGGTATGCATTGCAACCAGGCATTTTGAAGTCGCGTGAAGTATTTGCGTTATTTGCAGGCTTGGCGCGGAAAGAGCCCGCCGCCCGAATTGAATAGCACGACATTCTTGCGTGAAGCGAGCTGATGGGCCAGGTTCTGCTGCTGAAGTCGTATTGAAGAAGTTCAACTTACGGTACCGAAACTGTGTTGCTGCTACGTGGAAGATAGCATGTCGTGGCTACTTTCGTGGAGGATGAAAAGAAGAAAATGAACAGGAAAATAGATGATGACGACGGCAAGAATGAGCTGATAGAACGAGATGACGTAAACGACAGCGGAATGAAGCGGCTTCAGCAACGTGGCAAAATTGCTTGAAAGCTGGAAGGAAGACCAGAGCTATTGTGGTCGACGGCGGACTAACATGTCGCCAATAGGACTGATTTGGACAAGAGTACCGGAGCTTTCAAGCCGCGCAAGGCGGAAAGTGCGGCTCATGGTCCGACGGATGTGCTCACGACGTGTCAAGTACCAACAAGTGTCGATGTTTTCGTGTCTAAGGCGACATTTGGTCATGGTGTTTTCATACTCCCGGGTGTCATTTTCCTGTGCGAGAGCTGAAGTCTATTGTCGCCCAAGAATCGAGGTGGTAGTGATGCTTCTACTTTCGAAATATTGTACGTATTGTTGTATTACCACACCCTAATGACTTGATCGATTGTGGCGATCAAGCAGTGTACTGAGTTTTTACCAATCTTTTGTTACGCTGCCTGCATGTACATTAAACAACTTCGAAGAAACGGGTGCACTGCGGTGATTCAGTACGCATTAACTTTCCACCTTGCCAACGTCTGCTATCACTGCACGCAATGCTCTTTTCATTGGAGTGACGGGTTTAATTTGACAATTGCGAGTCTACAGCTTGTGCGATCGGAACGTCGTATCGCCCATTTTGAACTTGAACTTCTTACCGCGGAACTGCTCGAGCGAGGAATCACCTAGATTGCTTGCATTAGACGAAAAAGCGCGCTTTCGCTCGTCATTGTTTTTCCTGCTTAACCCGCTGCTGGCGTCCGAACGGTTAAGCGCAGCACTATTATTGCCACCACGACCCGAGCTGCTCATCAGCGTGCGGTTCTTGCTATCCTCCATCATGAGTCGAAGGCTTTCATAGCCGCCAGCCCAGTGCGAAGCCTTATCCTGAACGATGTGAGCAACTGAGATGGGAGTTGTTTCACCCCAAATCTTTCGGTACAAGACGATGAGCGCCACGCGTAGTCGCTGGTCCGTCGCAGCGGTCGTGTTCATCAACCCCCACAGCTCCTCAACGATATACTTGGCGGACTTGCTATCATCACGAAGCTTGCTTAGGTCGGGGCGATCGAACAACCCTGAGATGTGGTCCTTCTCCGGGCTTTTAAGGACAAACGATGTCGGCTCTTTCATCTCAATGTAGTTCATCAGCTTTAATGTATTGCTGTAATCCCAAGTAGCTAGAACTTCTTGTCCAACACCTGGCGGAAACCCGCGCATGCAGTTAAGACAAACTTGCACAGCGAACAAGCGAATGCCAGGTGATTCCTCGGATTTTAACAATTGACATAACCACAACAAGGCAGTCGTGGCCCCGTAATTGTTTACCAACATGGATGAGGAATCCCGTGATGATGATCGGTCGGACTTTTGGTATGCACCGGAAACGCTGGTGAAGTGTACTTCCGTAGATGAAGGACCGACATCCCGAGTCGGACCAGCCGGATCTTCAGCGAAAAATAAGCGAAAGATGCTTTCGATCGCAACTTTACGAACGGTGTTAAAATGTTTTGGTGAAGCGAACGAGCGAAAATTCACCAACTTCTCCTCACACCGTCCGGCTAAAACCAAATTACACAATGCTTCTAGACAGCATACAGTGATCGTCTTGTTGTAACTCGGCTGCACTTGATCATAATGCAGGTAGCGCAAAATCTCTCGAACAACAAGCGAACCTCCATCCTCTGACCGTGCCGGCCCGTCAACGTTTAGAACAGACAATGACAAAACTAGGTTGCCAATGTAGTAGCAGTCGTCAGCAACTTGCGACTGGTCGTCCATTTCAACATAATTCTTTGAGTTGTCGTTTTCAGTAAGCAGCTGTAACAGAAACGTCTCAATCTCTGGTGGTGACTTGCCATTTTGAGCACGAACTACCGCAAGTGCCCTAGGAATGCTCTTCTTGATCTCGTACTCACCGGCAGCATAGTCCTGCACCTGGATCTGCTTACTAGAAAATGATGCTTGCTGTGCTCCGAGAGCTTCCAAAACAACCTTCCCGCCGGACGGCAGAAAGTAATTTGGTAGTGGCATATCGGTCGCTCGATCAAAAAAGTGCTCCTTGAAGATACGCACCAAATTGTGCATCCCCTTCCAAATTGGAAGTTGCGTATTAGCATTGGTGAGCGGTGCATGAATTGATTGCCAAATGCCGAGTGATCGAGCAGCTTCGGCGCGCAGTCGTCGTGAGTGAGTCGTCAGACCACTCATACACTCCGTTAGCACTCGGCACGACATCACATTGGGCTTTTCATGTGGTCGATGAAACAGAGCAAGAGCACGTGCGGCATGCACACGTGAGCCAACCTTTTTGTCCGACAACAACTGCTCCATCCAATTAAAGTCCGGTTGGTGCATCACAACGTGCCGCAGCCACGCACAACCTGTGTCGATTTTCACCCAGAACACAGGCGTGTCGTTTAAACCCATACCAGGGCCACCCACAGACACTGAGTCGTCCGGATCTGCAAGTCCCTGGCGTTTCCGTCGTTTCTTTCGGACCTTAGAGTGGCATGGGAAATCAAACTTATGCCGTTTGTGCTCGATGCGCTTCTGGTATGAGTACTCGCTCGTATCCTCCACAATAGTAATTGTAATTGGACCTGTATACAGCTTCCCACCAGGAGAAATCTCTTGCTGCAACACCACTTCCGCTTGCGTCTGCTTACGATTATACCAGTATCCTACCGTAAAGAACGGCATTCCAGGCTCGATAATCCATGAAGAGAGAAAAGCCTTCGTAAGATCCTGGCCTGATGCTCCTGCAATTGTTTTTACTGTCTTCAAAAAGGACAGCGTCGTCAAAGGCTCAGACATGGCCGAACCCCCCGCCGCTTTTTCACCTACGCCGACGGTATCGCCCACTTCTTCTTCATCATCACCTCCAGCATTTTTCTTGCCATCACCGATCTTGTTCGCCTCTTCACCTTTGTTATCGTCTCCCATTGTCGAGGCGTCACCTCCAGTGTTTGAGTTACTAGTAGTCACTCCACTTGCAGCCCCACCAGAAACTGCGCGCTGGATAGCGATGCTTAGGTGCTTTGGACCGACGCGCTGCTCAATCATGTGCAGTACGAGAGGTGCCTTCACTTCCAGCAATGTCAGACACGTTGGGTCATATTCCGAGTACACATCTACCTCAGAAGACAGCAACGCAGGTGACTGCTGATCCGTCGTCAATTCCATCGTTGTCAATGCATCCAGGGCAAGCTGGATGCGGTAGCCATACTCTTCTTCACCATACACCGACCGCACGTACGTGTTAACAAGATGACCGATCACACCAATCAGTACCCATGCGTCCTTTGTGCTTTGAATGCCGACAACGCCGCCAACCCAGCTACCTACTAGACCCTTAACTTGCGCCAAATGCGAAAGCAACTCGCGGTCAATAATCTTCGCTCCATGCAGCAGGTTCTGGTCCAGCATGGCTCCACCAGCTATATACTGCACCTGATCCGGCAAATCTTCCACAAACACCTGCTGGTAAGTCTTGAATGGGTACGAAGCTCCCAATGCAGTTTCAAAATACGTCATGGTCGAAGCTAGCCTTGACGTGCATTGCACTAAATCTTCAAAATGCTCCGGCAGCGCGAAATGCGTCATAAGAGGCATTTCAGGCGGCACGTATAGTCGGAAAGGACCTACTGCAAATCCAATTGACGAGCAGTTGGTCTTAGGGTTCACCACGTATCTGAACGTTCGCCATCGTACTCCACCACTGTCGCTCTCCGGGTTGAGCACTTGCTGTACCATTTGCCCACTACAAACAGCCACGCACCAGTCCGGCACGGTCAACTCGATCCGGAACGTGCAAGCATCCCTCAAAGTATCCCGGCACGGCATCCAAGTGCGTGCACCATCACACAGTCCTCCAAAAGGTCCACAATAAGTGTACATGTGAGGAAACCTCTTGGGTTGATACTCTTCATCCGGGAGCATGAATCTCAATCCGCCAGTAGGCTCCTGGATATCGTACTCGATCCTCACGATCATTGGCTTATAACCCGTCGAGCTCTTCGGGAGCCGGTCAATGTCCCAGTCATCAAACACCATCTTCTGTCCATGAACTGAATCGGCACCATCTGGTTCTTCAGTTGCCGCATCAGGGACCTGTGGCTCACTTAAGTTGCTCGAAGCCTCATCAACCTCGTCCTCTTCGAGAAACAACAGGCCCTTCGGGAGTTCAATAATGAGCTCGCCTTCCTTCGACGCCACAATCGCGCCACGGTAAAAGAGGTCAAACGTGGCTAAATCGCGATAGTTCTCGTCCACGACGTCGTCCAAGAAATTAAGTTGCTCGAACGGAGCCAAGATCCCGTCAATGCGCACGGTCCGCACCTTGAGTTGCCGAGCATGCAGACGAAGCACACGAAGCTCTGACGCTCGTGGAGCAAGCACTACCTCAGCTACGCCTGTCACGTGCCGATGGAGGACGTCCACTTGGAGCGCCACTCGCTGTTGCAGGTACTCAAAGTCGCCGATCATAAGGTGGCGTGGGTTAGTACAGTGGCTCGATTGAAGGTGTGGTCCACATAATAGGTCGATGGGCGATGTCGGTAAGTTGCTCGGAAGGAATGACTGACCAGTTGGTGATGATGATGTTGAGGGAAGAATGGGAGAGTATACAACGTCGCAGTTTAACTAAGTGCAAAATCGTTTTTGTTGCAGATACTGATTGCAAAGTGAGCGAAGTAATCTAACGGGGGCATCAAACGTTTCCCATTTAATCACGAAACAGGTGAACATACCCAAAAACTTTGGATTGCGAAATCTTAAAGAGTGACATGCAACCTACACTAAAAATACATACCAACCTTCGCACCGCTGCTTTACCACACAAAACAGTCTTGCGGCTGATAAAAAGATGCGGGATGATATTGCAGCACGTGACGTGCCGCATAATACGGCATGCGGATCTCCAAAATGCCATTCTCTGAGATCTGCTGCGTGGCTTCTTCCATGTTGAGCATGTTCCGTGGAAACTGCTCAGTGATCTCAAAGCGTCCGAACGTTGGTGCGCCACTGAGACGCGACATGACCAGGTCTTTCTGCGTCGGCAGTCGGAAGCCACTCACCCGAAGCACGCCACTGCGCTCGTTCCACTGCACGCGCAAGTTGCGCGGATCGATGCTGTTAAGCCGTGCAATAAGGTACACGCCATCCTGTCGGCGCTGCAGCTGATAGTACGGACGCCACACAGGCAACGACTCGACGGACATCTCCAGACCCGGGGTTGTCATTGCAGAAGATTCAAGTCGTGTCGATGGTTGCGGGGCTTCCTCGTTGACTGTCTCAGCTTTGACATGAGCTCCAGATGCATCAATCACATCCTCATCCTTGGAGTCTTCAATCTCGTCCACGTCTTCTTCTTCATCCTCAATTCTTGTGTCCCTTTCTTCGACGTTCGCTACCTCTACCTCCTCCTCCTCGTCGTCCTCCTCCTCCTCCTCGTTCTCTTCCTCTTTCTCTCCGCCCTCACGACCCTCATCGTCGCTCTCTTCATGTATCACACTCTTGACGTGCACATCGTCCGACTCGACGTCACTGCAACGTTCGCTGAGCGTCACCTCCTCGTGCTTCGACTTGCGTACTCGACTAAGTACAATCTCACCGAACCGTTTCAACTTGGCACTGCGGTCCTTCCACGCATCAGCCTGAGGGAGCAATTGCTGCTGAAGAAACACCACCAACGCCTTCCGAGCGCGCTTGATCTCCACGTCTCCGTAGCTCAAGACGTCGTCCAGCTCCAGCAAATAGCGCGTGAGCAGCTCCGCCTGTTCCTTCACTCGGTAATCAAAGGCCCCGAGCTCGATGCGCGTCTTCTTGACAACTGCCGCCGCATCTAGCGACCGAAGCGTCTCCAGTCGCCACTTGGAGCCGCAGACAGTGGCCAACACGTGACGGTACTGAGCAGACAGGCGCTCGGTGAGGGTTTCTTGCACGTTCTTGACCTTCTCCGAGATGGTCTGCAGACGGTTCTGCTCGTTCATTGGCTGAAACTGCGTCTGCGTCGTTTGGAGCTCCATGGGTTGAGATTTCGAGTCAAGAGCTCGGAACTGGACAATGAGGTGGTTGTGTCACGAAGGTGACTGAACTTGTGATGCAGGCGGTAAATGACAAAGTGAGAGAGGTGAGCGACAGGTGGTTTTGTGAGTGGGACGAGCGGTAATGGCTACATTTTGAAAGAACCAATCGCGAATTTTCGAGAGTCGAGTGGAAACAAGTTCGAGACTGCTGACGATTTATGTCGTACTTAGTGAGGATGAGGCAGAACGAATGGTGTCGTTCGTGTGTGTTTGACATCATGTAGGAATGCACGATAAGGAGTTCAATGCACGATAATGAGGGGATCACGGACAGTAAACTGTGTCAATAAACAGGAGCTGAGGAGTCTCGACACGTTTAGAGCCGTAAGCGCCTTGTGACAAATGCGTGTTGAACCATGGCTGTCACGAATGATGTGCCACGTGATTCAGATGGCGACTGCTTTTTTGCACGGCTGACGCTTCGGCTACTTGTCGGTCTTGAAGAAGACGAAATAACGAGAACAGACCTTTGCACGGAACTCACGACTGGTTGACAGGCTCTTGAACATCATTTTCACTGTTCAAGCTTGATGCATCACGTCGAGTAGTTTATAGGTGAAGCTGGACAAATATTGCAGATGCATCTGACCGCGTCAATGTGCACTAGGAAAGCTCTCGACGAGTGCAGAACAAGCGCCACATCACTTGGAAGACTTTCGAGCCAACTCAACGCATTGATTGTCCGTCTCAAGGTTTAGCGCGATTAAGCTCAAGACGGAACTCAAGATGGAGCTTAAGACGGACTACCAATGCTCGATACGACTATCTGATGCTGCACGGACGTCCGAAAAGAGAACAATATGTGCGGCTTCTGACTGCATATCGGCTTGGCTTTGTAGTTACAATGACACACAAACTTAGTCCAGCCGATATACGATGCGACTCCAATAATGTTGAGCTTGAGAGTGCACAACGCTGCCACTCTTTGGAAGCGAATGCATGGCCACGTCTTTTACTGATTTAGGATCACAAAGCATACACTTTTGTCGATAGAAATAGCAGCGCCAAGGTGGTAGCTGGTACCCGGTGCAAAGCATGAATACTCAGCAAGCACTTCTGCCTCATCCACATATTCCCGATTTGTCAGCAACATACTCGCTCGGTGGCTTCCCGCTCGCTGCTTGCTTTCTTGCTCTCTTGCTGCGTTCATCACTCGGTCTCGACTTACCAGTCCGCGTTGTCAATCTCCTGCAGCAACGACTGCATGAACGCAACGCCGAAACCCGTTGCCCGCTCGTCGTCACTCGTAAACGCGGGGTATGCCATATCCACATGCAGCCACTTGCCTGTGCGCTCAAACTCGCCCAAGTGGTTCGCGATGAACTGCCCAGCACAAGACACTTGCCCGTTCGTCCGCGTTTTCACCGAGTTTTTCATGTCTGCGATCGTGCTCTTAAACTCAAGCCGGTGGAACTCGGGCGCGTACGGCATCGGGTACACCAAGTCACCCGAGACTTTCCCTGCCTTGACCGCCATCATCTCGAGCTCCTCGTCATTTGTGTAAATGGCTCCAATGCGAGTGCCCGTCGCAATACCCTGCGCTCCAGTGAGTGTGGCCATGTCCACAATCACCTTTGGCTTCAGGTGTTTCACCGCATACGCGACGCCATCAGCCAGCACGAGACGCCCTTCCGCGTCGGTGTTGTTGACCTCCACCGTCTTCCCCGAGTACATCACGAGCACATCGTCCACACGCGTGGCATCGGGTCCCACCGCGTTCTCTGCCACACACAGGACCACGTGCAGCGGCGTCTTGTCCGTCGTGTTCCTCGCGTGACACGCGGCTTCGAACGCTGCCAAGAGCGCCGCTGCGCCGCCCATGTCGCGCTTCATGCCGACCATGTTGCCCCCCGTCTTGATCGAGAGCCCGCCCGTGTCAAAGATGATGCCTTTGCCCACCATCGCGACACTCGGGACCTCGTCCGCCCCGTCCGGCACGTGACTCAAACACACGAGCGCGGGCGCGTGCGTCGCTGCTTTCCCGACGCCGTAAATGCCGCCAAATCCCTGTTGCCGGAGCTCCTCGCCCTGCACGATTGTGATCCTCGACGAGGTGCGCGCCGCCACCGCTTGAGCTTCGGCGACGAACGCGTCCGCGTGCAGTTCATTCGGAGGCGCGTCCACGAGCCTCGCGGCCAATTGGATCGCGTCCGCCGTGTGTTGCACGAGCGTCTCCTCGTCCCTCGTCAGCGGCGTCTCGTACACGACGTGGAGTCTGTCCGACCGGCGCTTTCTCGTCTCGAGTCCTGGCAAAGCGGTCGGCCGCTGGCTCTTGTGCTCGTACAAAGACGCGGCTCGAGCGACTGCGGCGCCAGCTGCCAGCCACGTGTCCGCGTGCCTCGGGAGCACGAGCACCACGAGCACGACGTCATCGTCGTCTCTCTCTTCTGGGACCTTTTCTTCCTCGGCGTCTCGTGTGCTGATCAACTGCGTGTGGCGCTTGAGGAACGACGTGATCGCGTGGGGACGCGCCTGACTGTTGGACCGCGAGACTTGCGTGGGCAGCGCGTGCAGCGTCACGTGCAGGGGCGACTCTGTGGACGGAGAAGTCGGCAGCAGCAAGAGCGCGGCCGTGGCGCCGCTGTCGACGCTGGGACGGAGCGAGTTCAGTGCGTACTGCAAGAGCAGCGCATTGGTTGCGGTGGAACTCTCGACGACGCTCGAGGAAGCGCGGAGGAGCGTCTGGTGCAGGAAACTGGAGGGGGTGCCTTGCAGCTGCAACGTCTCAAGCGATCCGACGACGAGCACGCGGTTCACGCGCTTGGTCGGGAGCGCAGAGAGCGACGTGAAGTGCACCATCTGGAAGAGCGAAGGGGGCGGGGAGATGTCCTCCTTTCGAGGGGAGATATCCTGCTTTTGAGGGGAGAGATCTCGTGTTGTTTTTGACTCGGGTTTAGGTGCGGATGAGCACCTGGGTGAACAGGCTTAAGCATGAGTTTGCAGGATAAGAGGATCGTGATGGACTTAGGACGGATGTCATGGATAGTTGGTGGGTTTGTAGCGACAGGGATAGAATCGTAGGAGGTGGACAAACTGAGCACTGTGGTCGTAGTTGGCGTGGGAGTTCGTTGCGACATGCTGGGGACGTATGTGGAGACACGCCTTTGCTTTTTCTACCATTCGTAATATAGGATTATCTACAATATAAATGAGGGGGTCAGAAGGACGTCAGACTGTGAGAATCACAGGTACATGACCCGGAACTCCTGACAAGACGCCGTGCTCCTTTTTATAAAGTCACGATAACGTATTCCAGGTGACGAAGACAATAGTCGAATAAATACTCGCAACATCTGCGAGCGTTACAGTCACCGAGTTTTAGTCAAAGGTTTTGCTCGCACAGTATGGCGCTGTACTTCACTAACGAAATCAATCGATTTGTCTGGTAGATATCATGCTTGCTACCTGTTGCTTCGAAGAAGCTTCATCCAGCAATGCCATGTAGTTACTATGGTGCAACGACACGATACTTTACGAGACGTGGAAATGTGGGGGCACACTCCGCGTCTCGTGAAGTGCTATTTAAAAAACGCGCAATGTTAAAGCACGATTAGCTTCAATTATGCAAAACGGAGCCGACAAAGGACTGCACATCAATGTGCGCTTTGTCGAATGCAAAAATTTGGACAATATTCTTTTGGCTAGCCAAGCTACTACAAGCATGCCCCTCCAGCGTACTTGCCATAAGCGTTATCAAGGCGACATTTCACAGTGCTGCTAAAGAGCGTTTTTGTTGTTGCGAGTTCGAAGGGTAATGCGACATACACTAGTGACTCGCGCCAAGTGGTTGCTGAGTTTTTAAAGCTCTTCTTTCTTTGGATGTATGTCTGTAAACAACCAGATGGGCGCCGTAAACGTCATTACCAAGTTGGATCTAGCATGTTTTTCTTCTCATAGGTAGAATTGTATTATTCGAGTCACTCGTTGCCTAGGTCACTGATTCTGACCGCGAAGTGTGTCGCCTACACACCACCGACGCCCGCACGTGATTGGCTAAAAAGTAATTTAAGGGGGACAAAGAGCAAGTAAGCAATGCTCGATGCTTTTAAGCAGCGAAAGTCTCGCACCTCTGGCAAACAGCAAATGTTATGTGGTTTTCATTCGTAGCACTTGGTAAGCTGAAAAAATGAGAAGTTCTGGTTACTTTGCTATCTCGGTGGCAAGGGTGTACCATTAATTTAATTCCTCTTTTTTATCGATTAATGTCATGTGGTCGACCATCCTTTGATGTTGAGTTGTTGCCGGGCAGGAACGTCCTCCGTCTCCCTTTTCTCGCGCTTCTCTCATTGACCAGCTCAAACGTCAGCGAGTAGCAACTTACAACAATCAACCATCACTCATATGTTCCACACACTCAACGCCCAACCCATTCCCCTACCGCCACCCACCCGAAATGAGTGCATAAATTTCCAGAACTTGATTCACTTCTCCAGGTTGAGTTACTTGTATCGAAGAGCGAGCTCAGAGCTTGGTCCCCAATCTGGAGTGTTCGTACGTCGTCTGCTCACCACAAGACATGTACTTCATTAAGTCAGGCTTTGCTTCACCGTAAACAAATTCCAGAGATAATAGAAACAAGGTACGTTGGATTTGCATCAAACGCTGAGATAGAAGAAATACAAAGATACCTCACATCGATGATTACTGTCCTGAATTCTCCTATAAGATGCCGAACCTTAAGCAAGCACCGGGACTAAAGCAAAACATGATTCACAAAGCTGTTGAGCCAGGATAGGAATCGTGACCAACGAGATTTTTGGGGTAGGTTATTTTTAGCCCATTCGCGGAATTTGACGTAGCTCAAGTACTTGGCGTAGTCAGGAATCTCCCTTTCAGCCCTTTCCTTGTCCATCGCAATGACATTTCGGTACTCGACCAGATGCAGCGCATCGAAATACGCCGAAGGAGATACATCCTTCCTCCACAGCTTCTCGTTGTCAGTCTCCCCTTTAATCACTTTCCCAGCAGCCCGAATTTTTCTCTCATGCGAAAAAGAGTGCAAATTTACCAAGATCTGGTCAAATTTGTCAACGACCTTTTGCTCTAGAACAGATAGCCAATCCTTCTCCTGTGCAATCGACTTTGGCCGATTTGCTTCCTCGAGGACGGTTTTAGGTGGTCCCCAGTTTCCAAGTGCGGACCTCAAACGGGTAAATGCATCGCTTATCGTCACCCCAATCTCCGAAAATCCCCTTTCTTCACCAACCCTCTCCGTGGCGACGTTGTTGGCTCGGAGCATCCGCTCGTCGTCCATTTCCGACGAAGTGGGTTGGTCCAGACTTGGAGTCGTTTTTGTAGCTGTCGGAGCTGAACGTGCGCGACTACCCGCAGTTAGACTGAGCACAAGCACGAGGAGGGAAAAGCACTTGATCATTGTAGGAGGTCGTGGGTGCAGTGGGCGAGCACTGCACAAGTGCCTAGTGGTCTCTCCGAGGCGTACGAACAGCAAAGGTAGAATAATGGGGAAGTCAGGTGGAATTGCTCCAATCGGAGGTAATTGAGTGGTGAAGCACGACTGACTACACATCCATTTGATAGAACCAGTTTAGAAGAGTCCTTTGACCAGTGAATGTATCCCATGAATTGATATTGTCGCTACTTCAAGCATCGGCGAATGCATTAGTTAGGTTCTAAAATATAAACTCTTACAATTGAATCGTTCTAAAGTCTGTAGAACTTTCTTTAGCGTCGTGCTATTGTAAAAGAAGCTGACGCGTCTCGCTTCAAGTAGACATTACGTCTGGACCAGATCAGTAGATGACGGCATGTACCCAAATGGCCCAGCCATGCCGCAAATTCGATGAAGACCAGATTAAAAACATTGCTGGGCCATCCAGATGTAAGCCAATCATTGCTGCCAGCTCAGCTGACCAAAACACTGCAAGTAATTGATCACCAAATTAAGTTTTTGTGCTCCCCGCTCCTACGCTTTAGACGGGGAAACAGTGCAACGTCGCGATGCTTCGTGCGCCTTTTGTTTGATCACGCAGGTCTCATAATCATTATTCGGACATTAGTCTCGCTCCTACCAGCTAATACGTTCCAAACATCTCAGTAAAACATTTACAATAAATGTTGAGACGACGGGAAAACAACCGCATCCTTCAGAGTAAAGCCATCGGAAACAGACTAGATTTTCAGATTGATCCCAACAAAACTCGTCAGTTTTGTATCGCACCAACCAGTCGATAGTTGATGTCAACTCGGGAGTACTAGAGATGCGTTACACTTATAAGCACATGCAGTCGACCGAGAGCTGTGTGTGGGCTCTCCAGTCTAAAAAAAAAGCTGCAGATTCCAGAACGGATCTCAACCTCCGTAGAAGCTAAAGGATAAACTACGGGTGTGGTAGATCATGTGTACTCGAATGTGGGTAAAGTCGATCAGATCAGCCAGCACTTATCGCATGGAACATTTGGCATCGTCGCTCACTACACAATTTACAAGTCGTGCGGGGGATGCAAAGAACATTCGATTCTATGTTCAAAATCCAGGTGGCAGCGGCGTAAGGATGGCTTCGGCGATCCAGCAAGATTACTCTTGTTACACGTTGCTAGGGCTTGCTAGATTCTAAGACACGAGCAAGTGTCCAGCACGTACATGGAAACGATTGTAAGGTGCATTTTATAAACAGTCTATTTCTCCTTTTCCAAATTATGATGCATAGTGCTCCTCTAATCACTTGTCCACAATAACGAAGAGCCTCCGCTATTTTATATGGCTGGACGTCCGCCGAGGTCGTCCGATGGCGTTTTATGGTCGCTAACTTATAACAAGTAGCAATGAAGCGAGATGCAAGTTTATAGATGGAGAATTTGTACTGAACGTGTGGGAGTAAACCTACCCAAGGCAAGCATCGGGGTATTGTGTGGCGTTCGTACTACGAATAGTTGATTAGCTCATCAATGAAGAGTAAGTCAAAAATTACACCGTGTTTCTAACGAAGAATAACAACCCCCGCAAACGACCAGTATGAATATGTTTTTCTGACCTTGCCATAATCCAATAGCTAATGGCCTCTGCTGACATACAGGAAACGTGCTTAACAAGGCTAGAAGTTAGTAAAGAGAGGACTGAATTACGTCTCCCGACTTGAGCATTGCGTGTCAATTATCCAATTCTCTGTACGAAGCGAATGGACAATTAATCTAGGTGCTTGCGTAGATAAAAAAAGATGGAGGACTTCCTCGCTCAGACATACGCAGGAAGGTCGCCATTTCTATCCAAAAATACACCCTTTTCGGCATTGTGATCCGCGAGACTCGTTCGCTAGGAATTCATTATACAATCACCAACGCCGAACTCACGTTCGATCTCGCATGACGACGTCGTCGAAACAACACACACTGCGTTATCGACTTTATGGGGAAATACTACACATACCTAGGTTATCTGGCCGTTGCCAAAAAAACCTGCCAGCGCATATTTTTCACGCCGCTCGACTTGTATATTGTCTTCAAGGCATATTCCAACATCCTCCTCAGCGCGTCGATTTGCAATGGCTCGTCGCTGATGATCCATTCGGCGAAGTAGATTGATTATCATCTACCTTAAAAAGCGACTGTAGGGTAAAAGGTTGGTTGTTATAGTGCCGCGGGTTCAACAAGCATCTGAAGCAAGTTAGCTACGACTATCTGAGCGTGACATTTGATAAATTTTGTATTGCGACCGTTGAATGGGATCTTTACTGTTTGGACACGACCACGAGAGACTTGCTATTTCCCATAATCGCGAGTAAGGGAGCAAGAAGTGCTGCTTGTCGGCTTCGTACTTATCTGAAAAGAGCAATGAAATGTGATTCTCGTGTTGTGCATTCACGAAAAAAGCCTAAATTTCATTTTTACGGCTTCCTTCCCCGTCTCTTACAAGCATATCGCATGCCACAGGTCAAAGAGAAATTTAAGCTTCCTCAACTACATATCATGTCAAAGTTTATAGCCTGATCCTGTAAAATACGCAGCTACTGCTGTCATCTCTCCCCTCAAGAATCTATGTTCGCAGGCTGTCCTGGCTGTGGTAATGCGACGTCCAAAGTTCGATAAGGTCCACACCTTCTTTGCTTTATACCTAGGCTATCCATCATCAGATCCAAAGTGGGTAGCTACTTACCCAAACGCCAACGATTTAGCTCAAAAAGCTTCTTTCCAGTAATGATGGGCAAGCCACAATTACCTACTTCCACGGGCTCACCGGACCCTATCGACCTCCTCACTTCTGAATTTGCTCCGTATCCAACTAGGCTCGAAAGTCTTCTCTCTCATCGACCACTCCTTGCGTCTGGTGTCTAAACCAATCATGACCAAGGGCTTTCTCTTCTTCGTGCTCGCGCTCTTCGCGTCTAGTGGCTGTCACGCTCTCGCAGCTGCTGCAAACGGACAACTGGCTGAGCTGACAACGACGAACTCGGACCAAGAAACCCCGCTGGACACAGACGGCAAACGAATGCGTCAAGTGGGTGACGTCACCAACGAAGAGAGGTTCTTTAGCACAAGTGCCGTAAAGGAGTACTGGATGAAAACCTTTGAGGAGTACTGCACGATGGTGGGCGCAATTTATGCCCGTCTGTCGTCCATAGTCTTGAGTTGGGGGCCTGTCAAACAGCTCATCGAAGCTGGACGAGAGTCGAAGGTCGTCCAACAGCTGCGACAGTGGGTCTCTCAGGTATTGGAGGAACTTGATATCAAGTTCAGATCGCCTCCTGGAGAAACGAATGTTGACGTCAAGTCTGGATCGCCTCCTGGAGAGGCGAATTTTGACGTCAAGTCTGGATCGCCTGTGGAGAAGGCAGAGCTTCGCAGCAGGTTAGGGACGCTTGCACGGAAGTTGAAGATTAAGCATCCGGCCAAAATGTATGCGTTGAAATCGGCGACTGACGCTTTCGACGAAAAAGTCAAAGCAGCTGACGCATTGATCCCACAGGCTCCATCTTATAAGTCTGATAAGAAAGAGGACACGGCGCTTTTTGAGAAGCTACATGCCGAAGGAATTGAACCAAAACATTGTGCAGCTGTGCTCGATAATCGCGCCAAGGGATCGCCATATTTCCACAAGAAAGACTACGCATATTACGCAGTCCATAACTGGATAGCGAGGTACGAGTTGTACTACCTGGAGAAGTCGAATTAAGTGGTTGTACGACGTAACTACCAGCTGACGCCATGGACATGCGACGCAATCAGCAACTGTCGTTGTAGCGACCAAACGCTCGAGGTGCAATTGCAGGACAACTGTGGGCTCCCTTTCGATCCATAGGTCATGTAGCACCGTAGGCTTTAATCAGACCAGCTTCTCATTTGCATCATCGTTCCTCATTGTTGCGTTCACGTGCACGTCTTCTGACGTTCAAATTAGACACGTCGTCCGTCTGCAACGGCGAAAGCGCTTAGCGATGAGCACATGGCAATCACAGCCTCAGTATCATAGAAGCGAGGTCGTATCCCCATATCAGCGAGTCGTGCCTACCTACTTACTAAAACAAGATAAAGATCACGAAGGGCTACAATGTCACCCAGTACATCCAGCCTTTTAGCGACAGCCTGCTTCATCTGCATATCTGTGATCGTCCGAGACACTGAAACTTTATGATCGTCAAACAGGTTCTTGTTGCCTACGATCGCAAAGAGAAATGTGTCCGTTCGGTGATCGCATCGATTGCTGTCAATTTGCTTGTAACCGTACGCCGCAACGACCTTCTTGCAGTTCCATCAGGTGCCGCAATATCCCGGTATGCAACCCACAACCTCGTAACGCTAGCCTTGGACGAATTTGTTATCATTATATGGATGCATACACAGCTCTGTCCAAACAATGCTCCTCGCCACTTGACAGCAAAAATGTGGCGGTTGATCTGCCACCATGTCATGAGTTACTATATGTGATTCGACTTTATAGAGCAGGAGTGAAATGAGGTCGGAAGGAATTGGAAAAGTTCTCGTGGTCTGACACCTTACCACGAAGATCTGAAGGTATCCGCTTCATTTAATAATTTCGTGCTACGTCGAGAACACAAGTGAGCTGTAAAAGCACGCCTTGTGCTAAAAGGTTATAGGGACGCGGGTGTCTCCAACACCAATCTACGTAGATTAACCGATGCACGGTAAAATTGAGGAATCGATCTGATGCGATCCCCCTGATCGAATTTGATGAGAAGTACGTAGCGCTGATAGCCTAGACGGGCCATACTTTGCAGGAGTAGTAATGGATGAGGTGGCTCACTCGTTGCATCTTCTTTCAGGTCTGACTTTGGTATCTATGAAGTGCACACGAGTGAACGTTCCCATAATAATGGGAATGTACGTTTCACAACTTTCGTTCGCCGGCGATATTGTAGAGATTGATAGCAGTACATTTGGTACGAACGTGGTAATGGCGCGACAACATACAGATCCACGGAACGCCCATAAGCTCGTGATATGATCTGTCGAATATGCGCGTCTACACCACACTTAGCATGTGACAATCTTGACGTAAACTATTGGCAACATCTGGCGGGGGCTTGATTTCAGTTGCACGAAACGCAGTGTCCAAGAATTTTTAAATGCTTCATTTTTCGCTACAAGGCTACACAAAGACGGCGTTTGGACCGTATTCTTTGAGTCGATGCTGTAGCGGAGGTACATAGCTCCTTAAGTCAGAGGAAGACTTTACGCTCAACGAGCAACTTAGCTCTAAAAAAACTAGACTCAATGAGTGAACAAGCGTAAAGCTTATGGTCCTTGTTCCAGTGGACCAAACGATTCAATGACAGCACTTAGTGCTCGATATTAACTAGCTACCTCAGGGAGGTGTTGCTATCTCTTAGTGATCAGTGATCAAAGACCAAAGACGCCTCGCAAGGCACGTGTCTTTAAGATCAAGAGGGGAACTGAAATTTACTTACATTTACACCTATAGAAGATCTTATCCTAAGCTGATACAATTAAGATCTCTACTATCTAGTGGCTAACACCAGTCAGCCCCTATAAACCGATAAGATATTCTATATCTCTTTCAGTGGGATATTGTAACGGGGTGAATCGTTACATAACAATTTATGAGAAATTGTTAAAAGAATATAACTATAAGAGTGATATTCTCAGAATATTGTCATAAGGACAAATATTCTGCAGCACTTACGAGTAGTTCCTAATTGGTTGATATAGGCCATCGTATCAACCAACGAAGACGCGCCACGACAGACGCACGCAATGAGTGGTGAGCAGATAGTTTATATACACATTTGTATTTAAACATAGTTAGATGAAGATAAACAGTGGTTTATTAACAGACATTAACTATTATAAATACAGTTCTACTTTTTACTTAAACCAAGTCCTCGCTTCTTCTTACCGTCTTCCTCTGCACGTACGAGTGTACGTGAAGTTCCGAGGCACCGCCTTATTCTGTCGTCAGAATAAGTAGCTTGTACTGTCACCAGTACAAGCTTCAGGGTGCCCCGTTACACCTGGTAGCACTTCGTAGTCCGTCCAAGGACCACGTTCACATCCAACATGAATATGTTGGATGATGAAGATGACCAAAGCATTCACGCTACGCGTGACGGCTACTCCCATTTGAGCGATGTCGAATGGGATGCGGTTGAACGAATGGGTTCAACCATGGGCATCCATGCTGTTAGCGTCATGCTAGAGGCTATCGATGTAGATGCTCAACATGCTACTATCGCCAAGTTCATTCAAAATGAACTTGACGCTGAACGCGAGAAAGTCGCCTTGCTTCACCAACAAGGTTCTCAGCAATCAGAGTTGTCGAGAGAACAGGGTGCATAACAGTTTGAACTGTTGAGACAGCAGCAGGCTGCTGCTGGTGGGTCGATGCACTCGCGTCGACCCGAAACCTTGAAGATTGACATCTCCAAGTATAGGGGATTCGAAGAGGACTCCCTCTTGAGATGGTTCGTCGAATTAGACGACGCCATAAGGGCGCGTCGCATCGACGGCGGGGAAATGGAAGTTGCATTTACCCAATCAAATCTGGCAGGACGTGCCAAGACTTGGGCTTTGGGGCTCAAGTTGCACGACCCATATGCGTTTGGGTCGTTAAAAGACTTCAAGTCGCGGCTCAGACAAACGTTTGAACCGCCTAGAGCTGAGTTCAGAGCTCGAACTGAACTCTTGAAGCTCAAACAAGGTAAGCGTGATGTGCACGCTTACGCACAACATGTACGACATCTCGCGAGTTGTATAAGCTCCAACCCGGTTGATCAACATACGTTGGTTTCGGTGTTCATGCAGGGTCTTGCGGATGGTCCCGTCAAGACTCACCTGTTCCGGCTTGAACTAGATTCACTAGAACAAGCCATTTCCATTGCGGAACAGGAAGACTTCAGTCTGAGACAGGCTCGCGCCAGCTCGACATCATATCTTCAACCTAGACGATATGACAGCAAAGGTCCAGAGCCGATGGAACTCTGTTATGTAGAGAGCGAGAAGGCTCGTTCTACAGACTACAAGAAGTTGCAGAGATGCAACAGATGTCAAAAGACAGGACACTACGCTTACGAGTGTAGTGCCCCTCGTCCAGTGTCTCGCAACACTGGGCGTAGTGACCGTCCACCCATGAGAAAGGGGCAGGGACGAGGGTCCGCTGTTGGTGCAAAGACGCAACAACGGGATGGACCGTCAAAAAACGGACAGGATCAGTAGGTGCGGAGCACCCTACTGGTCCAGCAACGTCAAGAGAATTTGTAGGCCTCTTGATGAAGGTTGCTCCCAACACACAAACGTTGTGCGTTGCTGCTCTAGGTAATGATATTTCACTCATTACCTTGAAACTCGAAGTGATGAATTAGTTTTCCCTTCGAGCTCTAGTCGATTGTGGGGCGTCCAACAATTTTGTGCAACGCCAATCGCTAGAAGATGGTCACTTTAAGTTCAGTGAATGTGACACACCTTCTACGAGGATGACGGTACGTCTTGCGACAGGCGCATCCGTAACCGTCATGAAGCGTATAGTGACATTCGCTATACGCTAGAAGATACCTAATATGACGATGACTTTATCGTATTGGATTTGGATGACAAATTCGATGTCATCCTTGGAATACCGGTTGCTCAGAAGGTACGAACCACGGGTAAACTGGCAACATCGAACAGTAACGATGCCTGCCGCTTGTTCATCAGATGGCCATCTGATGAACGTTTTGGATCGTCCACAAGCGTGTGGATGTACTACGAGTAAGTGCGATGGACTCACTTGTGGTACGGTCGTTAGTACTACTGCACAAAACCTTAGTGTAACAAAAGTTTACACTTCGGAGCAAAGTTCCGGCGGCTGTGAGGAAACACAGGCTGCTCCGAAGGTCCACCACTCGAGTAAGTCGAGTGGACCGGGACAAAGATGTATCCCTAGCGGGGAACATCTAGAAGAGAAACAATCGATCGCTCAGGTTAAGCGAAACGATAATCCTAGATCGACTGGAGAGTCTTTCGTAGAGGATCTCGCTGTGGTTGCGCAGCCACAGCTAGAGGAAGTAAAGGGAATAAGTCCCAAGATTACAAATACGGCGGAAATAAGTTCCCCGAAACCCGCGGGAATAAGTCCCTGGGAAACCGAAGGAATAAGTCCTTCGAGGCCTGAGGGAATAAGTCCCCAGGAAATGACAGAGACATTGAATGTCCTAGTCAATAACGGATCAAGTGTAGGCGCTTATACACTTGATGTGATTGCGCCTCCGAAGTTGACTTCGGAGATCACTCAGTTGCCATCGCTCGAACATAAAAGGTTCTTGCGTGATCTGCGTAGTGGCAAAGTCAAGCAGATCTGCGTACTCGTCGCTGACGACGAGTGTGTAACCGACATAAGTTCAGCAACAGTGTTTACTGAGAACGAGAGAGTTCTCAGTAGTTCATCTATGGACGAGAGTGTCCTAGATGAAAAGACACGAATTGAGCGATATGACTCCCAATCGTGGGAATCGCTCAAGACAAATCCTCTCTATGAAGATTTGGTTGAATTCAAGGATGTATTCCCTGAAACTGTTCCGTGCGAATTACCGAAGGATAAAGGTATTCGACACGAGGTCGAGCTTAAACCAGGCTCGAAGTACTGTGTCATGAAGCAGTGGCCACTGCCTCGTGAACAAGTACTTGCGATCGACAAGTTCTTTGCCGATCGTTTAGCTGCGGGCCATGTGAGGGAATCAACTTCCCCACATAGCTCTCCGACCTTCTGTGTGCGAAAAGCAACAGGAGGGTGGCGGATAGTGCATGCATTTAACAAGTTGAATGCTGCAACGGTACCGGCTCAAACGCCGATACCAAGGAAGGACGTAATCATTGATGGTATGTCAAAGAGTACCATCTTTTCGTCCATGGATTTGATGGATGGCTTCTATCAAATCCTTATGCGAGAACGGGATATACCCTATACCGCAGTTAGCACGCCTAGCGGCATGCTCTGGGAATGGCTAGTAATGCCACAAGGGCTTAGTAATGCCCCTGCCACGTTCAACAGATGTGTATCACATCTGTTGAGACCAGTACGAGAATTCGCGCCGAGTTATTTCGATGACGTATTCATCCATAGTCGAGCTAGGGATGGAAAGTCGGACGTTGAGGTTCACAGGTACCACGTCCGACAGGTTCTTACAAAAATGCGAAAGCATCAATTGTATGCAAACCTCAAGAAGTGTATATTTGCAGCAAGCGAAATACCACTTCTTGGGTGCATCGTTGGAAAGAACGGTGTACGTCCTGATCCTGAAAAGATCAAGGCGATCACCGACTGGCCTGTGCCGGTTGATGTCAAAGGTCTTCGAAAATTCCTTGGGCTAGCGGCGTATTTGCACAAGTATTCACGCAATTACGCCGAGATGACTGTGCACCTCTCTCGTTTGTTGAAAAAGAACGAGAGGTGGTTATGGAACGCTGAATGTCAGCGCTCCTTTGATGGTATCAAGCAGAGCTTGATACAATCCCCAGTCCTAGCAATAGCCGATCAGGACAGGCCATTTCATGTGGTCTGTGATGCCAGCGATTTCGCAATCGGCTGTGCATTAGTGCAGTACGATCTTGAAGGCGTTGAACGCGTCGTCTGCTATCAGTCGCGTTAGCTGCAACCAGCTGAGCGGAACTATCCAGTGCATGACAAGGTACTCCTTGCCATGAAGTATGCACTCGCGAAGTTCAGAGTCTATCTATTAGGAGATAGACCCTTCATTGTTTACACTGACCATGCGTCATTACGCACGGCGGTGAACAGCCCGCAACTTTCACAACGAATGGCGCAGTGGTTGTCATTCTTTGCAGAATACAACTTTACGGTCGAGTACAAACCAGGACGACTCAATGTCGTCGCTGATGCACTCTCACGTCGTCCCGACTTTGAATCAGTCGTGAAATCCAACAGTGGGACAGCCACTGTTGCGGTTATAACGTCCACAATACCGTCTTCGACGTTACATGATGATACGAGGCGGGCGTATGCCCCAGATGGTGAGATTGTGAAGTTTTTGACACGTCTCTCCCAACCATCTCGAGAATCGTTGAAACGATTATCGTCTGCGTATCGATCTGCATCAGATCGATACACTACTCGCGACGGTTTACTGTATTGTACAGCCGTTACTGGTGACACACCACGTGTTGTCATTCCAGAAGATACTGATCTGCGTTTGCGGATCATGTTCGAGTATCACGATGCTCCTATAGGAGGACATCGTGGCCGGGAGAAAACGTATCTCACGGTGAGCTGAGACTTTTACTGGCCCCGCCAGTATCAGTTTGCGCGAAAGTATGTTCGCGCATTCGAAGTCTGTCAACGAGTGAAGTCAAGTCCTTCACTGCGTGCACCTATACAGCCTCTACCGGTTCCGGATGAGTGCTGGGAATCCATCTCAATGGATTTCGTCTTCGAGTTACCCAAAGACGCACGCGGGAATCCTGGTGATCTCGTATTTGTTGACAGATTCAGTAAAATGGTACACCTAGTGGCTGTACCAGAGTCAATCACGGCAAGTGGCTGTGCTTGTGTCTTTATCGACACCATCTTCCGACTTCATGGGTTGCGCCGTGAACTCGTATCAGACAGAGATCCACGCTTCACTGCTGATTTCTGGCGTTCCGTGTTCAAATCACTCGGAACGCGCTTGAAGATCTCGACATCTGATCATCCAGAGTCAGATGGTCAGACGGAACGTGCCAATCGTGTCCTTGAAGAGATACTTCGAGGATACGTACACTCCTTTAAGAGTTGGAGTGAGTTCTTGCCAATAGTAGAGTTTGCCATTAACAACTCGGTGCATGCGTCCACGACACATACACCGTTTTACGTGAATGGCTTACGCCATCCACGTGTACCCACCTTACTAGAGTGTAACTCTGGTTTGAGGGGGGGAGGGACTCGCGCGAGCAAAAACCAATTTGGTTCACGCTCATCACGCTCTGACGAAGAGGTCATCGCGTTTGATGCCGATATCGATAACATCGATATCGAAGAAGATGATGCCAGTGAGAGTGCGGAAGCCCTCGCTGAAGAAAAGATTGATGTTGCTGCAGTGCACTCATAGCGCGCTGAAGCAAACGAGTCAGCAGATGAGTTCATACTGGCTCGTGAAACGGTAGTCCGTTTTGTGCAAGACTCCATCGCCGAAGCGGTGGATAAGCAAAAGCAAAACGCTGACAAGAATGGAAGGGCAAACACTCTTTTATTTAATAAAGGTGACTTAGTCCTACTGTCTACGGTTAATCTACTAAAGCATGTAGTGACTAACTTGGGTAGTAGTAAACTTCTACCCAAGTACATCGGCCCATTTCGTGTATTGCATCGTCTAGGCAATGCATACGCGATCGAATTGCCACGTAAGATGCGAGCGCATCCCACGTTTTACGTTGGTCGGCTTAAGCAGTACTATCAGTACGCTGTTTATCCCGATGAAGAACGGCCTTGCGTTCAAGCATCGCACAGAGAGCCTTGTGCTCCCGATGGTGGCCATCAACAAGGGTCTGAAGAGCAGTTATCTCAGCCCGAGACCGGTCAATATTCGCATGAGCTACCCTTAGCTCGTTACGCAGATAAGTCAAATCTCTCTCGTTCTCAAGCTGAGCAAAGGCAAACTCAGCTCGATGCTTCAAGACAGTGTCCGCCAGCTGAAGACGCCTGTCCCGCTCATGCTCGAGGTCGCCGCGTAACGCAAGAGTTACGCGATCAAAGAGGCTTGAAGAGCGTTTTCCCTCCTCCATCACCTCCTCTTTAGGACTCTCGCGGTGGTCCGCGCTATCTAATTGAGCGGATGTTGAACCACCGCGACGTGAACGGACGTCGGACGAGTTATCTCGTCCGGTGGCGCGGCTATCCCCCGTCCTGGGATACTTGGGAGCCCCGCTTCCAACTGATGATCGACGTACTGGATCTGGTCGAGCATTACGACGCGGCGCATCCTGTGCCGCAGAAGGACCGCCGGAGAAAGTCTTCCCGGCACGGTCGTAAAGGGATTTCAGGTTGTCAATCCCTTCGTACATCTCACTAGAGATACGTACGCGCCACCACGGGCTGGTAAGGAGGTAAGCCTCCTTAGGTGCTCGTGCAGAGTTGTTCACACAACATGGGCACGAGTCTCCCCATGAGAGGCAGGGTAACCCACTCTCCCTAGACAGACGATGCAGATTGTAGCGTGCACCTGTCGGGGTTCTCTTTTCAAACTTATCACGAGCTTTGATAAGTTTGTCGTTCTAAGCGTCACGACCTACATCCTCAAGGTTATGGATGTAGGCGTTCCACGCTTGAAGTAGTGAGGGACCATCACGCTTGTGATTCCCACTGTACCATCGATGGTTAAAAAAAGCATAGATGAAGAACTCATTCTCAGCGCGATAGTTTTTCGCATTGGGGTCAAGGTGATGGATCCTTGACGAATCGAACAATCGTGTTCGATAACGATCACTCGTTGTCGCCGACAAGTCATCCATGACGGATTTGGAAGGCATCCACGCCTTATTCTCAGGAGCGAGACGCAATACACTGCGGTCCCGCTCTTCTTGCGATGTGCCGACAGAAGGACTGGCACCTCGTTGCGAAGTGGTGTCCATAGGAGAACCGACACCACTGTGAGCGACCGAGTCTTGCGACCTCGAGCGCCTTCGCTTCGGCGATGGTTCATCTGATTCATCAGATGAACCAAAGATGCTGCGACGCAAAGCATCGTCCATGCCACGCTTGGCAGGCGGATTGGATTCAATCGCCGTCGATACGGATCCGTCTTCCGTATCAGGAGAGTATGAGACACCGAGCTCATACTCTGTGAAGACATGAGTGTCTTCATGACGAGCGCCTGCATCACCAAGTGACACAGGCTGGGTCGCTTCAGCAACCGATGAGACATCAGTTGCTGCGGTTTCTGCTTTGGCGTCTGCACAGAGACGTGCAGATGCGCTCTCAGCAGCCTTGTTCGCGCACCACACGGACATGTTGACTATGCGATGAAATGTTGGAAAGTGGAATCGGACCAACAAGTGCAAACCCTGTCCCAAATGATTTGGGACGAGTATCCATTTAGTCAATCAGTCACTAAAGTTACTGATGGTTAGGGGGGGGTGATGTAACGGGGTGAATCGTTACATAACAATTTATGAGAAATTGTTAATAGAATATAACTATAAGAGTGATATTCTCAGAATATTGTCATAAGGACAAATATTCTGCAGCACTTACGAGTAGTTCCTAATTGGTTGATATAGGCCATCGTATCAACCAACGAAGACGCGCCACGACAGACGCACGCAATGAGTGGTGAGCAGATAGTTTATATACACATTTGTATTTAAACATAGTTAGATGAAGATAAACAGTGGTTTATTAACAGACATTAACTATTATAAATACAGTTCTACTTTTACTTAAACCAAGTCCTCGCTTCTTCTTACCGTCTTCCTCTGCACGTACGAGTGTACGTGAAGTTCCGAGGCACCGCCTTATTCTGTCGTCAGAATAAGTAGCTTGTACTGTCACCAGTACAAGCTTCAGGGTGCCCCGTTACACCTGGTAGCACTTCGTAGTCCGTCCAAGGACCACGTTCACATCCAACATGAATATGTTGGATGATGAAGATGACCAAAGCATTCACGCTACGCGTGACGGCTACTCCCATTTGAGCGATGTCGAATGGGATGCGGTTGAACGAATGGGTTCAACCATGGGCATCCATGCTGTTAGCGTCATGCTAGAGGCTATCGATGTAGATGCTCAACATGCTACTATCGCCAAGTTCATTCAAAATGAACTTGACGCTGAACGCGAGAAAGTCGCCTTGCTTCACCAACAAGGTTCTCAGCAATCAGAGTTGTCGAGAGAACAGGGTGCATAACAGTTTGAACTGTTGAGACAGCAGCAGGCTGCTGCTGGTGGGTCGATGCACTCGCGTCGACCCGAAACCTTGAAGATTGACATCTCCAAGTATAGGGGATTCGAAGAGGACTCCCTCTTGAGATGGTTCGTCGAATTAGACGACGCCATAAGGGCGCGTCGCATCGACGGCGGGGAAATGGAAGTTGCATTTACCCAATCAAATCTGGCAGGACGTGCCAAGACTTGGGCTTTGGGGCTCAAGTTGCACGACCCATATGCGTTTGGGTCGTTAAAAGACTTCAAGTCGCGGCTCAGACAAACGTTTGAACCGCCTAGAGCTGAGTTCAGAGCTCGAACTGAACTCTTGAAGCTCAAACAAGGTAAGCGTGATGTGCACGCTTACGCACAACATGTACGACATCTCGCGAGTTGTATAAGCTCCAACCCGGTTGATCAACATACGTTGGTTTCGGTGTTCATGCAGGGTCTTGCGGATGGTCCCGTCAAGACTCACCTGTTCCGACTTGAACTAGATTCACTAGAACAAGCCATTTCCATTGCGGAACAGGAAGACTTCAGTCTGAGACAGGCTCGCGCCAGCTCGACATCATATCGTCAACCTAGACGATATGACAGCAAAGGTCCAGAGCCGATGGAACTCTGTTATGTAGAGAGCGAGAAGGCTCGTTCTACAGACTACAAGAAGTTGCAGAGATGCAACAGATGTCGAAAGACAGGGCACTACGCTTACGAGTGTAGTGCCCCTCGTCCAGTGTCTCGCAACACTGGGCGTAGTGACCGTCCACCCATGAGAAAGGGGCAGGGACGCGAGTCCGCTGTTGGTGCAAAGACGCAACAACGGGATGGACCGTCAAAAAACGGACAGGATCAGTAGGTGCGGAGCACCCTACTGGTCCAGCAACGTCAAGAGAATTTGTAGGCCTCTTGATAAAGGTTGCTCCCAACACACAAACGTTGTGCGTTGCTGCTCTAGGTAATGATATTTCACTCATTACCTTGAAACTCGAAGTGATGAATTAGTTGTCCCTTCGAGCACTAGTCGATTGTGGGGCGTCCAACAATTTTGTGCAACGCCAATCGCTAGAAGATGGTCACTTTAAGTTCAGTGAATGTGACACACCTTCTACGAGGATGACGGTACGTCTTGCGACAGGTGCATCCGTAACCGTCATGAAGCGTATAGTGACATTCGCTATACGCTAGAAGATACCTAATATGACGATGACTTTATCGTATTGGATTTGGATGACAAATTCGATGTCATCCTTGGAATACCGGTTGCTCAGAAGGTACGAACCACGGGTAAACTGGCAACATCGAACAGTAACGATGCCTGCCGCTTGTTCATCAGATGGCCATCTGATGAACGTTTTGGATCGTCCACAAGCGTGTGGATGTACTACGAGTGAGTGCGATGGCCTCACTTGTGGTACGGTCGTTAGTACGACTGCACAAAACCTTAGTGTAACAAAAGTTTACACTTCGGAGCAAAGTTCCGGCGGCTGTGAGGAAACACAGGCTGCGCTGAAGGTCCACCACTCGAGTAAGTCGAGTGGACCGGGACAAAGATGTATCCCTAGCGGGGAACATCTAGAAGAGAAACAATCGATCGCTCAGGTTAAGCGAAACGATAATCCTAGATCGACTGGAGAGTCTTTCGTAGAGGATCTCGCTGTGGTTGCGCAGCCACAGCTAGAGGAAGTAAAGGGAATAAGTCCCAAGATTACAAATACGGCGGAAATAAGTTCCCCGAAACCCGCGGGAATAAGTCCCTGGGAAACCGAAGGAATAAGTCCTTCGAGGCCTGAGGGAATAAGTCCCCAGGAAATGACAGAGACATTGAATGTCATAGTCAATGACGGATCAAGTGTAGGCGCTTATACACTTGATGTGATTGCGCCTCCGAAGTTGACTTTGGAGATCAGTCAGTTGCCAACGCTCGAACAAAAAAGGTTCTTGCGTGATCTGCGTAGTGGCAAAGTCGAGCAGATCTGCGTACTCGTCGCTGACGACGAGTGTGTATCCGACATAAGGTCAGCAACAGTGTTTACTGAGAACGAGAGAGTTCTCAGTAGTTCATCGATGGACGAGAGTGTCCTAGATGAAAAGACACGAATTGAGCGATATGACTCCCAATCGTGGGAATCGCTCAAGACAAATCCTCTCTATGAAGATTTGGTTGAATTCAAGGATGTATTCCCTGAAACTGTTCCGTGCGAATTACCGAAGGATAAAGGTATTCGACACGAGGTCGAGCTTAAACCAGGCTCGAAGTACTGTGTCATGAAGCAGTGGCCACTGCCTCGTGAACAAGTACTTGCGATCGACAAGTTCTTTGCCGATCGTTTAGCTGCGGGCCATGTGAGGGAATCAACTTCCCCACATAGCTCTCCGACCTTCTGTGTGCGAAAAGCAACAGGAGGGTGGCGGATAGTGCATGCATTTAACAAGTTGAATGCTGCAACGGTACCGGCTCAAACGCCGATACCAAGGAAGGACGTAATCATTGATGGTATGTCAAAGAGTACCATCTTTTCGTCCATGGATTTGATGGATGGCTTCTATCAAATCCTTATGCGAGAACGGGATATACCCTATACCGCAGTTAGCACGCCTAGCGGCATGCTCTGGGAATGGCTAGTAATGCCACAAGGGCTTAGTAATGCCCCTGCCACGTTCAACAGATGTGTATCACATCTGTTGAGACCAGTACGAGAATTCGCGCCGAGTTATTTCGATGACGTATTCATCCATAGTCGAGCTAGGGATGGAAAGTCGGACGTTGAGGTTCACAGGTACCACGTCCGACAGGTTCTTACAAAAATGCGAAAGCATCAATTGTATGCAAACCTCAAGAAGTGTATATTTGCAGCAAGCGAAATACCACTTCTTGGGTGCATCGTTGGAAAGAACGGTGTACGTCCTGATCCTGAAAAGATCAAGGCGATCACCGACTGGCCTGTGCCGGTTGATGTCAAAGGTCTTCGAAAATTCCTTGGGCTAGCGGCGTATTTGCACAAGTATTCACGCAATTACGCCGAGATGACTGTGCACCTCTCTCGTTTGTTGAAAAAGAACGAGAGGTGGTTATGGAACGCTGAATGTCAACGCTCCTTTGAGGGTATCAAGCAGAGCTTGATACAATCCCCATTCCTAGCAATAGCCGATCAGGACAGGCCATTTCATGAGGTCTGTGATGCCAGCGATTTCGCAATCGGCTGTGCATTAATGCAGTACGATCTTGAAGGCGTTGAACGCGTCGTCTGCTATCAGTCGCGTTAGCTGCAACCAGCTGAGCGGAACTATCCAGTGCATGACAAGGTACTCCTTGCCATGAAGTATGCACTCGCGAAGTTCAGAGTCTATCTCTTAGGAGATAGACCCTTCATTGTTTACACTGACCATGCGTCATTACGCACGGCGGTGAACAGCCCGCAACTTTCACAACGAATGGCGCAGTGGTTGTCATTCTTTGCAGAATACAACTTTACGGTCGAGTACAAACCAGGACGACTCAATGTCGTCGCTGATGCACTCTCACGTCGTCCCGACTTTGAATCAGTCGTGAAATCCAACAGTGGGACAGCCACTGTTGCGGTTATAACGTCCACAATACCGTCTTCAACGTTACATGATGATACGAGGCGGGCGTATGCCCCAGATGGTGAGATTGTGAAGTTGTTGACACGTCTCTCCCAACCATCTCGAGAATCGTTGAAACGATTATCGTCTGCGTATCGATCTGCATCAGATCGATACACTACTCGCGACGGTTTACTGTATTGTACAGCCGTTACTGGTGACACACCACGTGTTGTCATTCCAGAAGATACTGATCTGCGTTTGCGGATCATGTTCGAGTATCACGATGCTCCTATAGGAGGACATCGTGGCCGGGAGAAAACGTATCTCACGGTGAGCTGAGACTTTTACTGGCCCCGCCAGTATCAGTTTGCGCGAAAGTATGTTCGCGCATTCGAAGTCTGTCAACGAGTGAAGTCAAGTCCTTCACTGCGTGCACCTATACAGCCTCTACCGGTTCCGGATGAGTTCTGGGAATCCATCTCAATGGATTTCGTCTTCGAGTTACCCAAAGACGCACGCGGGAATCCTGGTGATCTCGTATTTGTTGACAGATTCAGTAAAATGGTACACCTAGTGGCTGTACCAGAGTCAATCACGGCAAGTGGCTGTGCTTGTGTCTTTATCGACACCATCTTCCGACTTCATGGGTTGCGCCGTAAACTCGTATCAGACAGAGATCCACGATTCACTGCTGATTTCTGGCGTTCCGTGTTCAAATCACTCGGAACGCGCTTGAAGATGTCTACATTGATCGTCCAGAGTCAGATGGTCAGACGGAACGTGCCAATCGTGTCCTTGAAGAGATACTTCGAGGATACGTACACTCCTTTAAGAGTTGGAGTGAGTTCTTGCCAATAGTAGAGTTTGCCATTAACAACTCGGTGCATGCGTCCACGACACATACACCGTTTTACGTGAATGGCTTACGCCATCCACGTGTACCCACCTTACTAGAGTGTAACTCTGGTTTGAGGGGGGGAGGGACTCGCGCGAGCAAAAACCAATTTGGTTCACGCTCATCACGCTCTGACGAAGAGGTCATCGCGTTTGATGCCGATATCGATAACATCGATATCGAAGAAGATGATGCCAGTGAGAGTGCGGAAGCCCTCGCTGAAGAAAAGATTGATGTTGCTGCAGTGCACTCATAGCGCGCTGAAGCAAACGAGTCAGCAGATGAGTTCATACTGGCTCGTGAAACGGTAGTCCGTTTTGTGCAAGACTCCATCGCCGAAGCGGTGGATAAGCAAAAGCAAAACGCTGACAAGAATGGAAGGGCAAACACTCTTTTATTTAATAAAGGTGACTTAGTCCTACTGTCTACGGTTAATCTACTAAAGCATGTAGTGACTAACTTGGGTAGTAGTAAACTTCTACCCAAGTACATCGGCCCATTTCGTGTATTGCATCGTCTAGGCAATGCATACGCGATCGAATTGCCACGTAAGATGCGAGCGCATCCCACGTTTTACGTTGGTCGGCTTAAGCAGTACTATCAGTACGCTGTTTATCCCGATGAAGAACGGCCTTGCGTTCAAGCATCGCACAGAGAGCCTTGTGCTCCCGATGGTGGCCATCAACAAGGGTCTGAAGAGCAGTTATCTCAGCCCGAGACCGGTCAATATTCGCATGAGCTACCCTTAGCTCGTTACGCAGATAAGTCAAATCTCTCTCGTTCTCAAGCTGAGCAAAGGCAAACTCAGCTCGATGCTTCAAGACAGTGTCCGCCAGCTGAAGACGCCTGTCCCGCTCATGCTCGAGGTCGCCGCGTAACGCAAGAGTTACGCGATCAAAGAGGCTTGAAGAGCGTTTTCCCTCCTCCATCACCTCCTCTTTAGGACTCTCGCGGTGGTCCGCGCTATCTAATTGAGCGGATGTTGAACCACCGCGACGTGAACGGACGTCGGACGAGTTATCTCGTCCGGTGGCGCGGCTATCCCCCGTCCTGGGATACTTGGGAGCCCCGCTTCCAACTGATGATCGACGTACTGGATCTGGTCGAGCATTACGACGCGGCGCATCCTGTGCCGCAGAAGGACCGCCGGAGAAAGTCTTCCCGGCACGGTCGTAAAGGGATTTCAGGTTGTCAATCCCTTCGTACATCTCACTAGAGATACGTACGCGCCACCACGGGCTGGTAAGGAGGTAAGCCTCCTTAGGTGCTCGTGCAGAGTTGTTCACACAACATGGGCACGAGTCTCCCCATGAGAGGCAGGGTAACCCACTCTCCCTAGACAGACGATGCAGATTGTAGCGTGCACCTGTCGGGGTTCTCTTTTCAAACTTATCACGAGCTTTAATAAGTTTGTCGTTCTAAGCGTCACGACCTACATCCTCAAGGTTATGGATGTAGGCGTTCCACGCTTGAAGTAGTGAGGGACCATCACGCTTGTGATTCCCACTGTACCATCGATGGTTAAAAAAAGCATAGATGAAGAACTCATTCTCAGCGCGATAGTTTTTCGCATTGGGGTCAAGGTGATGGATCCTTGACGAATCGAACAATCGTGTTCGATAACGATCACTCGTCGTCGCCGACAAGTCATCCATGACGGATTTGGAAGGCATCCACGCCTTATTCTCAGGAGCGAGACGCAATACACTGCGGTCCCGCTCTTCTTGCGATGTGCCGACAGAAGGACTGGCACCTCGTTGCGAAGTGGTGTCCATAGGAGAACCGACACCACTGTGAGCGACCGAGTCTTGCGACCTCGAGCGCCTTCGCTTCGGCGATGGTTCATCTGATTCATCAGATGAACCAAAGATGCTGCGACGCAAAGCATCGTCCATGCCACGCTTGGCAGGCGGATTGGATTCAATCGCCGTCGATACGGATCCGTCTTCCGTATCAGGAGAGTATGAGACACCGAGCTCATACTCTGTGAAGACATGAGTGTCTTCATGACGAGCGCCTGCATCACCAGGTGACGCAGGCTGAGTCGCTTCAGCAACCGATGAGACATCAGTTGCTGCGGTTTATGCTTTGGCGTCGGCACAGAGACGTGCAGATGCGCTCTCAGCAGCCTTGTTCGCGCACCACACGGACATGTTGACTATGCGATGAAACTGTTGGATAGTGGAATCGGACCAACAAGTGCAAACCCTGTCCCAAATGATTTGGGACGAGTATCCATTTAGTCAATCAGTCACTAAAGTTACTGATGGTTAGGGGGGGGGTGATGTAACGGGGTGAATCGTTACATAACAATTTATGAGAAATTGTTAACAGAATATAACTATAAGAGTGATATTCTCAGAATATTGTCATAAGGACAATATTCTGCAGCACTTACGAGTAGTTCCTAATTGGTTGATATAGGCCATCGTATCAACCAACGAAGACGCGCCACGACAGACGCACGCAGTGAATGGTGAGCAGATAGTTTATATACACATTTGTATTTAAACATAGTTAGATGAAGATAAACAGTGGTTTATTAACAGACATTAACTATTATAAATGCGGTTCTACTTTTAACTTAAACCAAGTCCTCGCTTCTTCTTACCGTCTTCCTCTGCACGTACGAGTGTACGTGAAGTTCCGAGGCACCGCCTCATTCTGTCATCAGAATAAGTAGCTTGTACTGTCGTCAGTACAAGCTTGAGGGTGCCCCATTACAGATAGCATTCCTGTGTCTAAGACACAGGGTACCAGGTACCCAACTACGTGTAACTCCGTAAAACCCTCCCCCACCAGACAGACGTTTCCCAAATCGTCAATCGAACCTCGTCCCTATCGAAATTTCTCGTCGAACTTTGTTATTTAACGAGGTCTGTGCACTTGCAGTTCATTGCAATAACGTAAAGCTTTTAGCACGATGTCCTCATCGCTTAACGAGCCAAGGACTCGCAGTGATTACCTCGAAACGGGGGAGGTTCTGGACTATGGTAGCTATACCACTGTCCCGGGTGATGCAGGGACAATGTCCGATACACCCATGTCTGAGGTACATCCTCGTTCTGCTCCCTGTCCGTTCCCTGAACGTGATAATGAGAATTTGCCATTGGCTCCGCGCTTAACCCCCGGTTCAGATGATGAAGTCACCACGAAATTGCTCGATGAGCAACAACAGATAAGCTTTAAACAAGGAGAAAGCACTCGGCGCCACGCGCAAATGCTCGCAACCCTCGAGCACCAACGTGACTATGTATTCATTCCACCCAGTTGGAGGAACGTTTGCTTCAAGCGGCCGGCTAATCGTTGGCAACGTGGATCATTGGCCACAGGCCCAAGTCTCCTGAGGAAGTGGCGAGCGGACAGGCACTTCGCGAGAGGTACCTGGGACCTCACCTAACTACCCAAGGTCAACACAAGACACGCCTTAGTCTGCAAGCACGTGGCGCACTGTCCACCGATTACGGGTATACCCATTCTCTTGTCTGCAAGCGAAACAGAGAGCGAAGAATACAATGCTTTCTTCCGCTGGGTGCACCGCATACGTCGCCTTAGCAGTATGTCTGCTCTGAGAGCTAGTGTCAATGTGGCTGATGTGCGTCTCGAACGCAAGATTCAGTATGACTATGCCAAGCTTATGGCCAGAGGCCAATTGCGTACTCCCACGCGGTATGCTTCGGCTGCTACGGTAGCCGCGAGTTTTGGTCAAACTCTGACCAAAAACCCGACAACCCACACCAATAGTGGTGAGAAACAGCCTCGGTCTCGAGATGACCTTGGCCACGATGTTCAAAAACATCCAAAGCATAAGGGCAATCTTGCCGTAGGAGTTCCTCGTATTTCCACGAGTTCTCAGACTCAGGGTACCCACTTCAACTTTTTTAGATACTGGTAGTGGCCATGACGACGACGTCGTTTCAGTAGTCTCTCGACATGAAACTGACGACACCCATGCTCATCGAGCAGCGTCGGTGGCAGCCAGTGTGCCGGTGGCAGTCCACGAGGATTTTTTCTCGAAGTGAAGGATGTTCTAGTGACCCTGGAAAAGACCTTATGCATGCTAGAAGCGATGCAGAGCCGCCTTCAGGCGATACAGCATGCTCAAACTCGGAGCGAGGCTCAGTTGGAATTGATGATTCGCTTGCAAAGATCCGGGGCACTGCCCTCGTCGTCGGCGCCAGCACCTCAAAGTTCACATGGAAAGGATCCCGGTACGGCTTAAGTTAGCCGACGTACAACATGGGGGGTGTACGCAATTTGCGTGGAAGGTTGAGCGTATACGCAAGGCCCTTCTTGGCGGTGATCGTAAACGGTCCGATGAAGCGTGGACGCAACTTTGTCTTGATTTTTAGGTAGGTTTTTAGCATTGAGTGATACTTGGTCACCAACCACATAACTTCTAATACAATTTCTGCCTTTGGCATCAGCTTGTTGTTTTTGTCAATCTTGGCTATCAGCCATTGCGTCACGCAGATATTGTAGAAAATGCAAACGTTGCTATAAACCCGCCTGCCTGTATTTGAACAGTATCAGGTTTGATATTAGCAATACGATCGACAACCTCTCCCCCACCAAGTCATAAGCCACATACCGTTAGCGTTAACGGAACGCGAGGGTGGGTGAAACCTTTTACGTAAATGAAGTAAAGCCTGTGGAGGCCATAAAAGCTTTGTTCAACGTGAATTCAACAACAGGGAAAGTGAAGTTCCAACGCCGTGGCGAATCAGCGCAATTACTGCGCAAAATGTCATAAATGACACGATTAACACGATAAGTTTAACCGTCGGTCAGCGGATGATCCGCCGTGGGTCAATTAATCGGGTGCGGAGCACCTTGAAGATAGACTTCCAAAACTTCCCAGTGAAGCGAAGATCTCTATCAGAGACAATTGCCACAGGCAAACCATGCTGTCAAAACACACGATCTATGAACATCTTTGCTGTGCCTTCAGCTTAGATCGTGTCCGGCACAGCCGAAAAATGAGCTATCTTGCTCAAACGGTCAACAAAGACCACAAAGCCAGTGTTGCCTTCCAAATCTTTCGGTAGGCCGAACACAATATCCATACTCATGGAATGCCAGCACCAAGTGGGTATAGGCAGACTAGCCAGTTGCGCGGCCGCATTTGCTGATGGTTTGACTTGTTAACACGTTTCGCACGAACGCACATAGGTGCTCACCCATTTTTACATCTTGGGCCACCGATAAGCCTAACTCACTTAGCCATAGGTCTTCTCACGACCGAGATGACCACTTAAAGCGGTATCATGTGACTCATTGGTACCGCTTTAAGCGGTGCTTCAACTCCTCATCATGAGGGACAGCAATACAAAGGGTATCCTCTATATTCGTGCAATAGCACAACATGCCATTATCTATAGAATATCGATGTAGCCTTGCACGTTAACGTGCCGACAAGGTTATGTCCGAGACTTTAAACTCATCGCATCCAAGAGCCCGTAGCAAAGCTACATACTGTTCGTCCTTGGCGTAAGCCGCACGGATTGGGTCAGGGATTGATGACAACGGTGTTGTAAAATGAGCAAGATCATAGTCAGGATGGCGCGATAGCGCATCAGCCAAGGCATTTTACTTTCCTGAATTATACTTCACCTCGAAGTTATATTCGGCAAAGAATGAAATCCAACGAGCCATTCAATGAGAGAGGTGTGGCGACTGGGTCGCAGTGCGCAATGACGCATGATCCGTGTAGATTACAAATAGCTTGGATCCAAGTGGATGTACTCTGAATTTGACAAGAGCACACTTCAGTGCAAGTAACTATTTGTCATGAAATGGATAGTTCTTTTCAGCAGCTTTTAGCTGGCTAGACTCAAACGCAATGACGCGCTCATGTTCATCGACATTAGTTTGCAACAATGTACTGCCAATGGCAAAATCAGATGCGTCACAGACGACACTGGAGGGCCGATCAGGATTGGGCAAAGCCAATATTGGCGCATGAAGGAGACTCTCTTTTATCGCTGTAAAAGCATCGTGTTCGGTATGAACCCAACACCAATCCACATCCTTTTTAGCAGATTTGATAATGGCCTAAACATGTCGGCGTAATTCGCACTTTACTCGTGCAAGTAATTGGCGAGGTCAAGCCACTTGCGTTAATCCTTTTGGCTCTTAGGAACCGGCCAATCGACTATGGCTTTTACCTAAGCGGGGTTCTCTTAAAAAGGCTCGCTTCCCAAAGAAT